CCAGAAGACAGGCGGAAAATGATCGTTTTATTATTTATTATTGTTTTGTGCACTGAAAAACTGCAATATTGTATTAATTTTTAATGATTAACAATCTTGACAATAGTCTTTTTATGTCTTGACAGTTTCACTGACTTCTCTAGTTATACTGGGTCGTGCACCCTAATAATAAAATGATTTGTTACATTCAACACACTCCCTTAACAAATGCATTTTTCAAAATACAGAATGGATATGAAAATATTGAAAAACATAAATTAACATGATCTCTCACATATAGTAACATATTGATTATAAAGAAAAAATTAATCTTTTCCAAAACTCTTAATATTCATAAACAAAATGCAATAGATTCTTCAGCACCTAGCACAAATAACATCTCTGATTTGGGGAAATTTATTAGTCCCAAGGGGTTTTGTAAATATGTCTGCTAACTGCCTGTCTGTAGGGCAATATCTGATTTCAAATTGTTTGTTGTGAAATTCTTCTGAGATGAAATGGTAGCGAACATCGATATGCTTACTCCTTCTGTTGAGTTGACCAGATTTGATGAGTTTTATAGCACTCTCGTTGTCCACTTCTAGGATGGTCCTAGGTGTATTATTAGTCATCTCCAAGATGAGACTTTTCAAATATTTGACTTCCTTGAAACAATCAGCAGCTGAGATAAATTCTGCTTCAGTTGTAGACAATGCCACAATGTTTTGCTTTCTGGAACTCCAAGCAATAGGTCCATCATTATACATAATGATGTATCCTGATGTGCTCTTTCTATCTTTTACATCCCCTGCATAGTCAGCATCACAAAATGCTCTTAATACTGGTTCTTTTTCTTCATTCTTATCTTTGGATCTCTTGTATAAAATGCCAATTCTCTTAGTACCTTGAATGTATCTCAATGTTCTTTTTGCATTAATTATTTCCATATCATTTGGGTCTTCCACACTTCTACTTTCAAAATTGACACCGTATGCTAAATCTGGTCTTGTTTTAGTTGACAAATATAGTAGACTTCCAACTACATTTCGATACTTGAAATTGTTTCTTCTGATGTTGTCCTCTCTTTGGTCTTCTTTATTTGCAGGCATAATTGGAGTGGATGTACTTTTGCAATTTTCCATGTCATATTTCTTGAGAACTTTCTTGATGTAATTTTCTTGATGAATGTAGATTCCTTCTTCTGTCTTCTTTATTTGTATCCCTAAATATGTGTCAGGGTTTGGAATACTCGTCATTTGAAATTCATTATTGAGCTTTTCCAGTATTTTCCTTATCTTTTCAATGTCTTGTCCTACAATACATCCATCGTCAACATGAATTGCGAGGAACATATCATTTTCTTTGCTCTTGAAAATACATTGATCATTCTTGAGTTGAACCATTCCACATTCTTTGAGAGCATTTGTTAGTCTCAGATTCCATTTTAATGGAGCTTGTCTTAAACCATATAAAGCTTTAGATAGAGCCACTATTTCTCCATATTCTTCACACTCTTCAGGTAATTTCATGTATATGGATTCATCTAATTGTCCATAAAGGAAAGCTGTTTTGACATCGAATGTTTGAAGATGATACCCCCTTTCAGCAGCGATAGCAAAGAGTAGTCTCAATGAGTTTGTATCCACTACTGGACTGTATATTTCTTCAAAGTCCATATCATCTTTCTGCTCACAACCTCTTGCAACAAGTCGAGCTTTATAACGTCCATCATCTTTCTGTTTGAGTAGCCATCTGCTAGTTATTATCTTTTTCCCTTGTATTTCATCTTTCTTGACTCTTCTCCAGGTGTTGTTCATTTTTAGGCTGTTCTTTTCTTCTTCTATGGCATTTTTCCATTTTTCTCTATCACATCGCTTCATACACTCAGCATAGGTGAGAAGGACTTCTTGGTCAGATTCTTCAGTGTTATATTCAAGTTCATAGTCTCTGTATCTATCTGGTCTTCTCAGTTGTTCTCTGTTTCGGAGTTGTCTTCTTTCTTGCTGATGGTTTTCTATAAGTATTTCTTCATTTTCTACATTTTGTTCATCTTCTTGTTGTTGTTCTCTATTTCGGAATTGTCTTCTTTCTTGCTGATGGTTTTCTACAGGTAGTTCTTCATTTTCTGCATTTTGTTCATCTTCTTGTTCTATGTTTTCTTGTTCTTGATTGTTTATTACTTCTTCTTGTTCCTCCTGATTATTTATTTCTTGATTATTTATTTCTTTCATGGTGTCATAGTTCACAGAAATATTTACTTTTTCTTTTTCTTCCACTGTCTCGAAAGAATTCGTGAATTTGATGTCTCTTGAGACATAAATTTTCCGGGTCTGAGGGTTCCACACCCTGTACCCGTTTGATGCATAGCCTACAAAAATTCCTTTTCGGCTTCTATTCTCAAGTTTCTTCAGGTGTCCTAAATTTTTGGTGTATACTATTGACCCAAATTCTTGAAGATTTGACAGATCAGGTTTTTTTCCATACCATGCTTCTGCTGGAGTGTTTTTCACAGCTGATGTAGGACTTCTGTTGAATAAGTATGCAGCTGTAAGTACAGCAAATCCCCACAGTTTTGTGTTCACTTGAGATTTGTGTAGCATTGCACGTGCTCGGTTCATGAGTGTCAGATTTACTCTTTCAGCGGTTCCGTTTAGTTGGGGTGTATGTGGGATAGTCCAGTCCAAAATAATCCCTTTTTCTTTGCACCAATTTCTAAATTCATTACTTCTGTATTCGCCTCCGTTGTCGCATCTAATTTTTTCAGTCTTTATATTGAAATGAGCTTCAGCTTCATTTATGAATTGTTTAAGGTAATCTTCAGTTTCATCTTTTTGTCGTAGAAGGTACACCTTCAGAAAGTGTGTGTAGTCGTCCAAACAAGTGAGTATGTATTCTTCTCCATCATATGTGATGGGAGATATTTTTCCACAGAGGTCTGTATGAATGACCTCTAGTGGTCTTTCTGCTCTTTGTCTAATGGTATTGAATGGTTTTCTTACCATTTTTGCAATAGTGCATGATTCGCAGAACTCCTGTGTGTTGCATTTTTGTAATGAATTAGATACGCCATTACAAAATTGTGGTACTTTCTTGAGATCATTGAAATTTAGATGTCCCATTTTGTTGTGCCACTCAAGAGCCTTTTCTTGTGTGATGAGAGCTTCTTCTTTGTTTTGATCTTCTAATTCTATAATGTATAGGCCATTTTCTGTTTTTTCGCCTTGCATTACAACATCTTTTTTATTATATGTTACCTCACCATGTACTATCATCACATCATTTTCTGTGAATACTGCTATTCCACCTTTATTTGTGATGGTGTTTACAGACAGAAGGTTTCTTGATAAATTTGGAACATATGCAACATTTGTAAGTGTTACATTAGTGCCTTCTACACTGCCTGTCAAGTTAGAAATTAACTCCGATCCCTTCTTAGCACAGCCTATTTTTATTTCTTCAGTTTTTCTGATATTCGTCAGTATATCTTTTTCATGAGTCAGATGACCAGTAGCTCCACTGTCACATACAAATTTTTTATCCAGCTGATGACGATATTCTCCATCCGATAGGTATGACTCTGTCAGATAACTCACTCTATTATTAATGTTACTTCTGTCTTGTTTTCTTTCATGTTCTTCCTTATATCGGCATCTTTCTTCTGGATGGTTGTCTTTCTTGCAGTATTTGCATGTTGAGAAGGTTTTTCCTTTCCAGCATTCTGATTCTGTGTGGCCAGCATTATTGCATTTCTTGCATTGCTTGAATGATGATTCCTTTGTTTTATTTTTCAATTTCTTCCTGCAGTCTTCAGCCCAATGTCCTTCTTTATGACAAAAGTTGCACTTGCCTATCTTTTTAATATTTGATGTTGCTTTGAATGCCACTTTTGTGTCTTGATTATACTTTGCTTTCATTTGATCTTCTTCTTTCAGTAGTCGAGATTTGAGATTCGCCAAGGTTTTGTCTTCTGATGGTGTAGAGTCCCATGCACTCCCGAAATATTTGAATTTGTCTGGAAGACTTTGTAAGATTTTAGCTATCAGCATCACATCATCAATACTAACTCCAACATTATTGAGTCTAAATGATAGATTTTGTAAACAAGAAATATTTGCCATAACATCACTTGATTTCTCGTAGTTGAAACCGTAAAACTGAGCTAACAATTGGTTCTTGGACAGCTCGTTATCTTTCTTGTACACTTTTTGTAAAGCCTCAAACATTTCTTTCGCAGTTTTTGATGTCATAACATGACTCTTCATTTCTGGGCTTATTGTTCTCAAAATGATGTGTTTTGCACTTGCATCTTTGCATTTCCATGTTTCGGTCTGTGTATTTGTAGTGCATTCTTCCAGCTTCGATGTGCCATGGATAATATTCATCAACTGTTTTGCCTCAAAAAGGATTAGGATTTCAAATTCCCACAGAGTATATGATGCAGCATCGATGAGTTTAGATACAGATTCTATTTCTTCCTTTGATCCCATCTTCGTGCTTTGTGGTGTATCAGACTTCTTATTGAGATACCTTTTCGTATATATTGTTGTTTACTCACTTCGTCTTAGAGCACTCTCTGGGCCCATAACCTGATCGTTTTATTATTTATTATTGTTTTGTGCACTGAAAAACTGCAATATTGTATTAATTTTTAATGATTAACAATCTTGACAATAGTCTTTTTATATCTTGACAGTTTCACTGACTTCTCTAGTTATACTGGGTCGTGCACCCTAATAATAAAATGATTTGTTACATTCAACAGAAAAGAAGGTGAAATTTGAAACTTTATAGTGAAATATCTTCATAAATAATGGTTTGTTCACATTTGCATTATCAAATTCGTGTTTTTCAGACAAAAATACGTAAGTACCAAAAAAAATTTTCGAAAAAAAAACCCATCGCATGCTAAATGCAGTTTTACCCTATCTTTTTTGGCGTTTGTTCGGCTACGCCTCGTCAAAAAAATCAGATCTTGATCACCAAAGTAGCATTTCGCGTTCTAGATACAAAAATGACTATTTAGAATCATGAAAAAAAAACAACAGTTCTGTCAAATTAACTTGAAACATGTACTTGCTTTGCCAGTTGATTGATATATGGATCAGGAATCCTGCAATCACACTTCAAAATTGAAATATTGTATAGAAAATAGAAATCAATTTGGAAATTTGATGAAAGTTGCAGTATAATCACAGATTAAACAAGTATGATTCCTATTTAGGGTATGAACTAGGTTCTATTGAGTTCTGGTTCTTTCTTCAGTTCTTTGGCCAGATCAATTTGTTGTTGAAGGACAAATAGATTTTCTGCCTTTCTTCTCTGGCGCCTTTCAATGTCTTTCAGAACACCAGAATGAAGTTGATTCCTGAAATTAGTTTTTATCTGGGATTATATAACAGTACGGCTTGAATTCCCAACCTTACCTATCTAAATGTTGCTTATAATGTACATATCCGATTATACCCAGAGAAAAAACACATGCTGAAGCAAGAACTACCTTCGCCTGGTTCGACATTAGGTTTTAGTTTTTTAAGAGAATCACAGGTAACATAATAAAAATAATAAAAAAATCTGAGATAAATCTGAAAAGTCAATTATAGCCACCTTAGTTCAAGGATTATAAACTCTACCTTAGTTCATAACAAAAATTCAAATTCATCCATAACCCTATTCCTTCTTCATCTTCTATTGTTGTGGCCTTTTGTCAGATGACATCCAGCAAATTATAGTACTTTGCTTTTCTTCTATAAAGAATGCACACTTCTGTCTCTGTGCATCTGAACTTAGATAGAAAAAGGATCTCCATCCTTGATATTGATAGAAATAACAAAAACAAAGGTACTAGACAAGGCTATTTAAAGCAATGACGGCACTGCTTGATATTTACTATTTAGCCGTCATTGATTTAAAGGTACTAGACAGGTAGAAAATCAAGAAAGTCAGAGCGTTAAGGTGAATTCTAAATGCAGCGTTTTTGCTTTTCGCGTCGCGCGTCATGCAACCTGATTGCTGACGCAGAATTTGGAAAATATTTGACGCGATGAAGTCAATATATTTGAACTTTTTGGCGTTCCTGCTCTGTGTCGCGTTGTGGTCATGTTCCAGAAACCTTAATATTCATTAAAGCAATATAAATTTCTTCAACACAAAATGTTTCATGAAAATGTGATAATTTTGAATGCAACTTCATTAAACCCTCATTTCAGAAAGTGATCTCATGACCTCATGATAAGTAAATCATTGCAGTATCCCTGAAGTAGGTACCTACCTGATTATCTCATTGTCAATATGCTATTTCCGTGTTTTGATGAATTACTTATCTGATGCGAACTTAGATCATTTGTATATCTTGCAAATATTATCCTACATTTCCAGTATTCTCAGGTATTCTCATGATTTTTCAATGCAAACCTCGACCACATCGACAAGGATAGGGAACTGAAGTAAATAATTGAATAATAAAAAAGGGTGCAGCAGTTCTCATTTACGCGTCACGAATCATAGTACGAGAAGCGAAAAGCAAAAAAGCTGCATTGGGAACCCACCTTTAAGTGGCGTTCACAACCAAACTTTTTACGTTTTGCTTTTTACGTTTCGCATTCTGATTGGTAAATCAAAATCTGGAATGGACATGACGCAAAAAGCTGAATATTTTCAGCTTTTTGCGTTGCAAGATGCCACAATGTGTGAAAATGGCACGATGTATGGTGTATGGAAATTGAAAAATTATACGTCCATGGGAAAAATAGACAAATACTCAATACTCAACCTATTTCCACACCATAACTCAATGATAGTCTCACCCAATATTTTCATTTTTAGGATTGTTTTTTCTCTTTAGGGAGCAATTTACGTCTCTGATGTACTCATGAATATTAATCGTTATTTAACTAGTATTATTGTTGTGATTATTTCACTTCATTTCATGATGAAGCACAAGTGACAAAACCCAGCCAACTGGGAAATGCCGTAAAAACTCATGTTGACGTGTTTTTGTTGAGAATGACATTTGCTTCAGTATAATTCACGTTTAATTCACTACATTTCATGATGAAGCACAAGTGACAAAACCGAGCCAACTGAGAAAAGCCGTAAAAACTCATGTTGACGTTTTTTTGTTGAGAATGACATTTGCTTCAGTATAATTCACGTTTAATTCCAGATTTCGCTTCATTTCACCATTCAGAATACGGAACGTAAAAAGCAAAACGTAAAAAGTTTGGTTGTGAACGCCGCTTACACATTGCAACAACAGTTCAATATCTACACTGTCTGACGGTTTTCGTTAATGACCTATTTGGGTTGGGAGAAGAAAAATAAGAAGATGATGAACGAAGAACTCGAAGGTTTGGTTATGATTTTTTATGTTGTTTATGATAGAATTATAATCTTTTTATGAAAAATTAAATTTCATTCATTTTTCAACTATTCAACCCCCAAAAGTTTTTGCTCATTTTAACTAACCGACGGTTTTTCCAAGTTTCTACTCTTTCAATATGTTTTGAACCTCGGAAACTCGTCTGTGGCTCTTGAGGATTCCACCTTGATCATGGACTTGTTTTATCAGTTATATCGTGAAATTTGAAGATGTTTTTTCGCACTTCAAAAAAGGCGACGAAATGAGTTATGAAACATCTGCTTTATGTTGTTGTGAATATTATGATAGGAACCAGGAAAGGAGCCATATCTTGACATGCTGTTGTGATTGTGAAGATCTTGATGAAGCTTTTGAAAGGTATTTTTGATTTTTACTAAACATATTTATCAATAATATCACTTTATTCTAGTTTTATTTCAGCTTAATAACTGGAAATCAAGTTTCACAAAAACACAAAAAGGGGATATTGTTAACTATGCAAAATAGATTCAGAATACCATGGAAAGGGGGTGCAAAACAAATAGCTTTTGATGCAATTCTACCTATTGTCATTATTCCAATTATGCTATTACTGGCATCAATAAGTCTTTGGTGGACATTCTTCTCTTTCACAACAGTTGCTATATTTCTATTATTTATTTCAAATTTCCTTATCAGAGCTGTTCATCATACAAAGTTTTTTTTTGTATGGACATTAACATCAGTTATAGTTTTGTATCTAATATTTGAATTTATTGTGATCCCATTTTTGGAGATACTGCTTGAGGAGAATATTGCTTTGAGTATGTTCATTTTTGGTTTTGTCATATGTTTGTACCTCATGAAGACCAGAATCAAAAGTATTTCTTCTATAAGAGAGAGTGAGGCTGAAAATGGGACATCTGGGCAATATTACCTGCAATGTACTCAGTGTTCCATTTGTCAATTGAAGATACCTGACAGAGATCATCATTGTGTTTGGTAAGTAGCAAAGTTAACTTATAATGTCCCTACTAATGTAATCATACATTACATGTGAATTTCGAGAATTCCCAAACTAATTACAGTGATACTTTCAGGTTTGACTGTTGCATTGGGAAGCACAATCAGTGCCTCTTTGTACTGGCAATTTTTTTTGCTATAATAGCTCTACTTTATAGTTCCAATTTGACTTTAACATCAGTTTGTCATCCTTTCACTTTATACAAAACCATATTATTACCAGATGATTGTTCTGAAGTATATAAGTTATTTGAGTAAGTATACTCCAGTATCTACTTCTAGCCCAGAATAGAATCATCTCTTGTTTTTCAGATTGGGCCTGTCATTTGTTGCTGCTGTATATAGCCTCATCATTGCTGCTCTGCTTTTAGTGCTATTATTTCATCAGATTTTACTGATATCATTAGGTATAACATTGAGAGACTGGACTCGATTGCCTCTAACAAAGAAACTATGCCTTGGCTTGACTATGAAAAGACCAAACAGTAGAGGAATATGCCAAAATTGGAAAATAGTTATGTGTTGGACAAAAAATAACCATAGCATTTCAAATCAAATGTAATAAATAATTGTACACTATTTTGCTGGAGCTTGAAAATATTTAAGATTCATAGCCTTGTTCATAGCTTTTGTTTGAAACAATTTTGATAAAATAATAAGGAAACCCAAACATTATACATAACTTTTAATTAACCAGGCCCTTACTCGATTTATCATACATACAGTTTCAAAGATCTAAGTTGTTGAAAATAATTTATTACAGTTACACCTATTTCAATTCTCATAGTATATAAATCAGAAGTAGATATATTTTAATTTTTGGTTGTTTTTGATTGGAAATTCAAGATAATCGTTCAAGGTAGATAAATGAGGAAGTTTATTTGGTCTGTATTTCAATTTCTCAACAAAAACAGAGGCAATTTTCTTTGGTTTGGATAACATTAGGTAGGTTCTACAAATCTAACAAAATCAACAATATAAGTTATAAAATATTCTCATCATCAGCCCAACGAACTCTTCTGTTTTCTAAATTGCTGAACCCAATGCCAAAATTTTTATGAAGTTCTTCTAGTGACTGCCTTGTACATTCATGCTGGTAATACCTTTTATATCTTCTGACCAGTACTATACAGCCAACTATGAAAAAAACTTGGATCAGCATCCAAAGTACTATCAAACCAATCACCAGGGAATAGTCCAGACATACTTCGTTAGTTGAGTAATCTACAAAAGAATACTTGCTTATTATATCCATTGAACCCAACACTATAATATACCGGGTGTTCCAGTATATAGTTTATAGGAAGTCAGTTGAAAAATAATAAAAAAAAAATTGAACCGGCTGCATGTCGGCAAATCCATTGACAAGCCGCAGCTCACAGCGGCGGGTGGAATATTTTTTTCGTTACCACGAATTATAAGTAACTGTTTTAAATGAATTCTTGATTGTTAAAAAATTACCTATATATCCATTTTGGAACATGAGAGTATCGAATATTGGTATGTTTCCAGACCACGCCAATAGCCCTATCCTCCCACATTTGAAATATGAATATTAAATCAAATTTCTCAATAAAATAAATTATGAATATAACATTTAACTCAATAAAAATTATCAACAAAACTAAATAAAAATGAAACATTGAACTTAATGAAGATTCTCAACAAAATAAAATAAAAATAAAACATTAAACTTGATGAGAATTATCAGTAGTATAAGGAACTTCAAGATATGTATGTATCAATATGAATAAGATAAGTAGGTACTATGGAAATGCCAATAATTCTGAATTTCTGATTGGTAGAGTTACTCTTTGTATATACACGTATATTCGAGATTATACAAGGTAACTTACTCAATTGAACGTTGTTCTGATTGGTTTAAAATCATACGAAGGAAATAATCAACAAAATGAAATATGAATAACATAGAACTTAATGAAAATTCTCAGCAAATAAATGGTATATTTTTTGGTGGAATTAGAAATATATGTACAGTTCCACGACTTTACATGTCACATCACTTTCCTACACTTTACACAATTTCACTACCCAGCGAACACAGATACATCACAGAGATATCGCAGGGATGTAACAATGGTGACCTGCGATATCGCATTCTTTGTCGCATAGACGTCGGTGCGATGTCAGAGGGATGTTATTTTGTCCCACTCAAGTTTCATCCATGCGACGTCCCTGCGATAACTTCTCTGCGATATAACAGCGATATATTTTTTGCAATGTAATTGCGATGTTATTTGTGATGGCAAAGCGAAGTGTTTTTGCGATGAATCTACCAAGTGATGCGATATTACATCGCAGGGATGTATACATATGACATCGCAAGGATGTATACATAGGACATTGCAGGGCTGTACATATGACATCGCAGGGATGTAAACCTATGACATTACAGCGATGTACATTTTTTACGCAGAGGTGAGGTAATATGTAGGAAAAAATGTCAGGGAAGAAAAGTCTGATGAAAAAAATATAAATAAACATTTATTTTCAATATACAATGATCAAAACAAAATATGAGAGGTGATTCTCCAACAAAAAATATAAAAGTTATGAAATCCATGTTATTTCCTATCGTTTCTGGACATCACATTTGGACAACATTTTGATATATATATATAATATAAATATTAGCTCTAATCGAGGCTTTAGTAGAAATTATCACATCATTGTCATCTGCTGCAACTCCTTCCTCAGAAACAAATTCTGAGAAAATTTCAGCATCAGCTCTCATGTTTCCTGAAGAATCCATTAATGCACAGGCGGCGTCAGAGAAAGAATGAATAATTGTTTGGATTACCATGATCGGATATATTCAAAATACCAGATGTTTTCATTATAATTCGTCTTTTATGACGATATGAGTAAGATGAAAAGGAACGCCTTGACATGGTTTCAAGTTCCAAGTGATTCCAATTTCCAAGTGAAAAATGGAAATTTATTTATACTCACCCCGGCTTTTAACTCTACTACTACAAAAAGGAACAGCGTGCCGGTGCCGTGTGCCGTGAAACGAAACGATGATGAAACGGAAACGACGCTAATAAAATACCTTCAGTGTCAACTGTCAAGTTCCAGTGTCACGACTGTCACGAGTCACGACCAGTGTTGCCACAATCTTCTTTTTGATCGAGGTAGATTCCTTGAACGAAGCAATGTAGAACAATTTCGAAACGAGGTAGCTTCAATCAAATTTGATCAGCGACTTAAGTGAACTGTTTCGCTATTGTATTCATCCTGTCTCATAATCGAGCTCAAAAATACATGCGGAATTCTCGCGAGGGTAAAATGATATCGGCAACCTTGGACGGACCTACGGACTATGCGAAATTCGAATATTGTATTACTCGTACATCGCAGCGACAATACATTCGTAATATCGAAGTGTTGCCTCATCGCGACATCTCAGAGATGTCATGTCGCAGATGTGTTTGCTTCTGTACATCGCAGCGATGGGACATTCGTAATATCGCAGTGTTGCCTCATCGCGACATCTCAGAGATGTCATGTCGCAGATGTGTTTGCTTCTGTACATCGCAGCGATGACACATTCGTAATATCGCTGTGTTGCCTCATCGCGATATCTCAGAGATGCCATGTCGCAGATGTGTTTGCTTCAGTACATCGCAACGATGGAACATTCGTAATATCGCAGTATTGCCTCATCGCGATATCTCAGAGATGCCATGTCGCAGATGTTCGCTTATGTACATCGCAACGATAGAACATTCGTAATATCGCAGTGTTGCCTCATCGCGACATCTCAGAGATGTCATGTCGCAGATGTGTTTGCTTCTGTACATCGCAGCGATGGAACATTCGTAATATCACATTGTTGCCTCATCGCGACATCTCAGAGATGTCATGTCGCAGATGTGTTTGCTTCAGTACATCGCAGCGATGAAACATTGGTAATATCGCTGTGTTGCCTCATCGCTATATCTCAGAGATGCCAGGTCGCAGATGTTTGCTGATGTACATCGCAGCGATAGAACATGCGTGATATCGCAGTGTTGCCTCATCGCGACATCTCAGAGATGTCATGTCGCAGATGTGTTTGCTGATGTACATCGCAGCGATAGAACATGCGTGATATCGCAGTGTTGCCTCATCGCGACATCTCAGAGATGTCATGTCGCAGATGTGTTTGCTTATGAACATCGCAGCGATGGAACGTTTGTGATATCGCACTGTTACGTAGACGCGACATCTCAGAGATGTCATGTCGCAGATGTGTTTGTTCATGAACATCGCAGCGATGGAACGTTTGTGATATCACACTGTTACCTAGACGCGACATCTCAGAGATGTCATGTCACAGATGTGTTGGCTGGGTACACATATGTCATATCACGACTTTCCTAAACTTCACACTTTGGTTATGGTAATCACAATATGATTCACATTCACAACACACCACTTATTAGTTTTCGTAACTGTTCATCTAGATGAATTATTCGCTTCACAGCATTCCCTCATTTCACGTAGATATTCTTGCCGATGGTCTACGATGCGTCTTGATTCCATAATCACCATCCTTTTGTCTAATTTTTTATGGCTGAACCCGCAATCTAGTGAAACATTTCGCAACGTACTTAACGATTTGTAATTATAATCCGCTTACTCATTCAACTTATCCCTGATATCTGGCATTGTTGGCACCTTATTCTCATTTTAAAATTTATATTGCTAGCGACGATGTTCAAATCACCCCGTAATTGAGAAAAATGACTATGGAATGCCTTTTCACAAGCGGCCTCGACGACTCATGGGCATTCGTAATCATCATGTGATCGAAAATCGAAGCAGGTTCAGTCGACTAGTATCATATAGCTTCAGAACGAATCACTTGTCGATGTTGTATTTTCTTTATAAACGGTCATCTTTGTACCAGCCGTCCTGAGTGAATAAAAATGTGTTTGAGTGTTGAAATTGTGCCTCCTTTCAGAATCGTATAATATACAATTCGACGAATTACTTCTTTCGAAGCATCATCAAGCTTCTTGAGTTTTTGTCCCACTCTTTTTCGTTTAACTTCATGATCTACAACATCTTCGGTTCTAATAACTCTGTATATGGTGGTATAGCTTATTATTTTAGTTAATTCCTGTATTCTCTTCACAAGTTGGTTTTCTGAAGAATCATTATTCTCGTCCTAGATATTCAAAATTACCCTTTGCGTTTGAACGTGTGAGGCTTTATTGGCGAACTCCGCTTGCTCTTCCTCCGTATCACTATAACTCACTTCGTTGACTTCCTCAAAAGGCCTCCAGAACACAAAACCACTATGATTGAAATAATAAATTTTCTGAATTTCAAGTTGTATTTATGAAGACAACCTAGCTCGTACCGCACTGCCTAGCGCAGGCTAGAAGATTCTTATCACAGAAGGCCGCCCATACAACTCTGACCAATCAACATTCAGTATAGTTCGGAGTAACCAATGAGATGCGGTTTCTAGCATGACAACGCTTGTCCAGTCCATGTTGACTGCAAAGGCTGCATAACGGGTAAGCTCAGTAGAAAATATCATTCATTCCTATTCCAATGTTGAGCGAATCGAGAAATCCTCGTATCGTCCTTAAAGACGGAAGTTTTTCAACTGACTTCGCATAAACTATACCAGACGGTACAAAGGACCCCGCACCGCATCAATGGGAAATTGGCTTTCGGTGAATTTACTCGAATTTTTGATATATTGTAGAACTCGTGGTGCTGATCAAATGTCTCCATTGCACCAACGCTCTAAAATCAACAGTTACGATTATATAGGGTGATAAAGTTGACTTTTCCAGAATTTTAGATAGTAATTGTGAAGACACCTTCCATAATTTCGAAACCAAATCAACTGTGCATTGATTGTTCGAATGACCGATACGAATCTACTATAAAGTATAATGATTTCTGCACGTACCAACAATATACAGGGTTGGTCGGAACATGGCGAATGATTCAGTGATTTTCGGAAAAGTGTGCAGTGGAATCTCATTTAAATTCTGTAGTATACAAATATCATCCCCATTTCGTGATATTAGCATCTCCTAATCAGACATATTATATACAAGATGTTTTATTTTTGATAAAGTCACATCCATGTTAGGTAACTATTATGTATTGGCATCCTCATCATGACTTACAACTTGAACAACCTATTGGGAATCTCGTTCATTCCATGATGAATGTTCACCCTGCAAATACTTGAAATATACGGAGTGGACGAAAAATCAATGGTCTTTGCTAATAATAAGAGTAGTATCTGCAGATTCTTTTGGCCCATTTTATTGACCCTGTTCCATAACGACATTATATTCAATGAAAATAATTTGAACCATTCGATGTAGTATATTTTTGATAATATGCAGGTATCATAGGTTTTTCAGGTGATAGTGAAACAATCAACAATAGGAAACAAGAACAATGAATATACAGTTATTATGGATAACAAAATATTCTGATATTCAATCACAACAAAAGTTCTGTACCTTACATAGTATATTTTACTTCCGTGTTATGACAAGCAATTATATTTCCTCGATCACTAATTCATAAAACGAATTCGTTTCACGAAATGAAAAAGTTGAATTCATTCAACTTCTTGAACAGTCTCCTGAATACAACTCGTCATACTCAATTCTAGAATACCTCAACAACCCTCCAACACTGCTGAAGTAAAGTAAACATAACAGTTAAAACAAAATTAAAGTAGTAAACAATATAATTATGAATGACTAATTTCATGTATTCGTTTTGTCATTAGGTGTCATCATGTCAATGTCTTCCGGCATTGAATGCGATCCACAATTTATTGTTATTTCTTGAAATTACGGAAGCTTGAGTGAATTCTCATTCGTAAAAATCCATGAGCGTTCGTATTTGAATTTAAATTGATTTTCATCGTGATATCATAATATACATCTTTCATATGAGATCCTGCCAATTTCATCTGGTAGGTTTTCTGCTTTTATATCGTGGCTAATACTAAATTGACTCTGATAGCCTTTTCTAACATCAAATTGGCTAATTATACATTGGCGTCTCTTGAGTCAAACAGACATACATACAAAAATACATATAAAAATGAACCCAACTATCTAAAATACATACCTAATGTAACAAACAATACTATCTGGTTGGTTTATAAGGTAGTATGAAAATCAACACGATGGCATAGTTATTATATTTGAAAAGTACTCCTGACTGTATAGCCGAGTTTAAAACGTACTCAATAAAGATAGAAGCAGCTATATTAGTTTCAATAAACATAAATATATAAATTATTCCAGATTTTTTGGGATTTTCTCACCTCGTTGCTATAAAATAAAAACATGAGTATCATTTCAATATACGTGTAGTAAGGACAAATCAGATGATTTGCCCCAAAGATGTCACTATCAAAGAGCCTAAAACAAAAATTCACCAGTATAATGATGAATATTTCACCTCCTCAATTAACCTACAGACAGTATTTAACAAATGAATACATAAATCAGTTGGAAACATACACACATATCATCATGAAATCATGGTAATATAAAATAATAGAATATCGAGTGAGGACGAATGATAAATTCTTACAAATGCCGAATGAATCTTTGATTTCATTCAATTACGGTGATCTCTTCTCATGATGGACTCCATGTTCATCTTGATCACGTTAAGATTGCTCTGGTTCAAATAATGTAATATGGCAGCCACATAGCAACTATATTCATCTGTTTAACATTGTCATTTGCAACTATTGCATCTGTCAAGTTCTTATAGAAGTCGAAGTAATAATTATTTGAAAAATGGCTCATCGCCGATTGAATTGTTTTACGTGTCATTCAGCATTCAATATACAAAATATGGTACGACTTGAGGTAGAACCGAATGAAATGAAGCGAGAAATCGCTATTGAAAGGCGAGATCAAGGGGGACTTCCACATCTCGAATTTATGGATCTAACATGTTATTAAAAATATACTGCATCGAATGGTTCAAATTAGTTTTATTGATTATAATGTCGTTATGAAACAGGGTCAATAAAATGGGTCACAAGAATCTGCACATACTACTCTTGAGAAGTTATTAGCAAAGACCATTGATTTTTCATCCACTCTGTATATTTCACGGATTTGCAGAGTGGACATTCATCATAGGTTGTTCAAGTTGTAAGTCATATTGAGGATGCCAATAATAAGTACCTAACGTGGATGTGACTTTATCAAAAATAAAACATCTTGTATATAATATATCTGATTAGGAGATGCTTATATCACGGAATGGGGATGATATTTGTATACAACAGAATTTAAATGAAATTCCACCGCACACTTTTCAGAAAATCACTAAATTATTCACTATGTTCCGACCAACCCTGTATATTGTTGGTACGTGCAGGAATCATTATACTTTATAGTAGATTCGTATCGGTCATTCGAACAATCAATGCACAGTTGATTTGGTTTCGAAATTATGAAAGGTGTCTTCACAATGTCTATCTAAAATTCTTCAAAAGTCAACTTTATCACCCTATATAATCGTAACTGTTGATTTCAGAGCGTTGGTGCAATGGAGACATTTGACCAGCACCACGAGTTCTACAATATATCAAAAATTCGAGTAAATTCACCGAAAGCCAATTTCCCATTGATGCGGTGCGGGGTCCTTTGATATTTGATATTTTCATAATATGTGGAAGAACAAAAAAAACTTTATTATCAAATTTTGGGTTGACGTCAATACATACCATATCCAGCTACAAGAATCTTGTTATTGTCTCCAACGACTAGTCTATCTGAAGTAGACTTGGTGTCTCTTACTAGCATAATGTATTCTAGTGGCATTTCATACATGACACTGGATCTATCTTCAAACTCCGACCGGTTGACTTTTTCAACAGTTGTTCCATTCATTGTATAGATTGCTTGAGATTGCGTGTCTCTCCTCTTTCGGCCATAGGACATAATATTATTTCCACAATCTACCTGCGAGGAATCAGGAAATGAAAAAAAAATGAAACAAGATTATAAGGACCGTTATATTCAGTAAATCAATGAATAATAATTGTGGTGCCCATTTATTTTGCACTAACTATTGATTATTTGTTATTAATTATTGAGTTTATTATGCATATATATGTACAGTGTGACCCACTTCTAATGGAAACACCCCCAACGTAATCGTTGGGTAAGGATCCTCAAATTTGCTGGAGCGTAAGATATACCGAAAATGACCAAGTGGGGCCATCTTCAGTGATATACACTGCTCGCCAACAGCCATGGAACCACCCCAATTTCCCGAAAATGATATTAGGAGTCAAACTAAGTCGAAAATCACTTCAGATTCGGAATAAGGACGCCCAATTCACTAACTATTCATATTTTTCCTGTAAAATTTTCAGTTTTGAAAAATTAAATTTTGTCGCATATTTTACGGAAGCACCCCCGTATCTTACGTAATTGACTTTATCTTTGGACTTTCCCTTCCTCCTGCAAATTTCAGAATCCTACTTAAATAATTACGTGAGATACGGGGGTGCTTCCGTAAAATATGCGACAAAATTTAATTTTTCAAAACTGAAAATTTACTAGGAAAACTATGAATCATTAGAGAATTGGGTGTCCTGATTCCGAATCCGAAGTGATTTTCAACCTATTTTGACTCCTAATATCATTTTCCGGAAATTGGAGTAGTTCCATGGCTGTTGGCGAGCAGTGTATATCACTGAAGATGACCCCACTTGGTCATAAAGTGCAGAAAACAGGTTCATGATCCTTACCCAACGATTACGTAAGATACAGGGGAGAAGTGGGCTGCACTGTATACTGTATGATATGTATACATAGTGAGTATAATTTGACGAGTAAAAACTTTGGAAACATAAAAATATTTTGCTGTCTATATTGATAGTACAAGACACTACAAACATGAAGAGTTTTTTGCTTGATCACATCAGCTTGAATGATTGTGATGGAATATATATGAAGTTGAGTTTTATGCAGGGCGAGTCAGTTTTTGTAGCAGCTAGGACTTCGATATCTCTTAGAACCCAAATTTTTGAGATGAGAATCTTGTGTAAACATATATGCGTTGGAGCTCCGTTTCCGATACACGAATAAGCTTTATATATATTTCTTTAGTTTTTATGTTTTTTTCCTACAATTTTCGAAATAATGAATTGATATTTGGTATGCCTATCACACTCCTAAAACGAAATAATTGAGGCTTTCATATAAGCGTTTTCGAATACAATTATTACAGGGCGGTACTCTTTTGGGGGTAGTACCTACACAAACTTTTTCGCGTGCCACCACTGCTTTCAATGAAAAATCAATTCAAATTACCTTCTGCCCTCCTGTATGTTTTTATTTACTTGTAATGAAACATCATTATTCCAACACACTTTATTCAAACATGTCTAATTGACAAGAAGACATGGAATTATAGTTTCATAAGGTATGTCGATGCAACTCGGTGGCAAAACTTCGAAAACACAAAAAAAAATTAATGACACCGCCGGCCTGTATATCGGAAACGAAGCCTCACGCATATATCGTGTGTCAATAGTGGTAAGTGGTGTCAACGAATTCATTTAAGAGCCAATGAATAGAGCGAATTCCATTGGCAGGAACTGGTGGAGTGTTTCTCCACTGGGTGTATATATTCACCTCTGTTTAACACGTGCGGGTGCAGGAACACTCCACCAGCTCCTGCCAAAAGTGCCATTCGCTATTAGACAAACCATAGCTTATTATGAGTAAAAAATGCATACAAGAGCTGTTTTCTGTGAGATAAACGGTTCCAGAGATATTCGCAAGAAAACAATTTTTTTTGCAAATTTCAACACCCTGTATTTCGAAAATGGTGCATTTTAGAGGGTAAGTTGATGAAAACTTTTTTCATATTTTTTGGATGAGCTATCACATCCTGAAGTCCTGCGGATATATTATGAAACACCTCTCATATCGTTATCGATGAAAATTTTGACGCGAAATTAGAGGGTCTAGTACTCGATGAAATCTTCAAAATGAGGTATCGCATCACCCCTCATAGGGGGTTGAAGTTACAGGGATGAAGAAAGAAGACTTTTCCCCCGAATGAGAAATCGGGGTCTAAAGTTCCCGCTGGACCACCCTGTATAGTATGTGAAGAAGGCAGTTTTCGCATCCTTTTCACTTTCCCATCACTACTGGTTCCGAGGAAATGGCTCCGGCTTTGAAGTTTTAAATGGAACACTCTGTATATATTGTAACATCTCTGGATTTCTGAGACTAGACTGTGACATTTTCGAAGGTTCCTAGACCTACTTAATTTTTTTAGAGTCACTTTTTATGTTGCAACTATAGGTGTGGCCATGATCGGACGTAAACTAATCTATGGACCTCAGGTGATGTCAGAAAATTGCAAGGTTCAAGAAGTAGTATGATAGATATATTATAGGAATAAGACATGTTGACAAAATCAAATGTTCGTGTCTAACTATAATTTTTCGAATGGCGACCATTTTTTTGACAAGTACTTTCTGAAAAAAAAAGAGGATGTTTTGATGAATCTAACGATATTAATATACACAGAAAAGGAAGGAAGGAATCCTCGAAGTCATCTCGATTTTTCGACTATGGGCATTGACAACAATTTTACTGCTAGTAGCATCGTACTTTCATCAGGCTGGAGATGGTCTTTTATAAGACCGAAACATGTCCCTTCTGATTGTGTAACAACACCATTAAAATTCGTGGAGATGACTTCGAGCATTCCTTCCTTCCTTTGGAACATTTCACTCCACTTTGAGCATTATGGACTCTTCTACCAAAGATTGATATTAATATATTTTCAATCGGATTCAAAATAAGAACATGAATTACCTAAGTATTACTAATGATTCTAAGGATATACTGGATAATAGTTCATTCATTTTTGTCAAGTGTGTCATAATATTTTGAAATTTTGAAGTTGTTCGTATCACGCGTTCTTTGGAAAACAAAACACTCACTTAGGTATAATTAGAGTGAGTAGAGAAATAGACGACAATATAGCTGAATAGCTGGAAATCTGAAGGGTATCTCCCATGTAGTAATGAATTTGGGCCTTCGAAGTGCCCATCTGATGTTAGGTTTATATATTTGATATTTTAAATCCATCATCTGAATTATCTGAGACTCACGAGTCCCAAAAGATGGATTCTGATAGTTAATATCCAAGGTACTGACGTATAGAGTTTCTTGTCTGATTGTTGGATGTTTTGTGACTAAATAAGAGCAAAAAACAGAGACAAAGCATTGAAAACAAGGCAGGTGAATGCACCTCCGCTCATTAAAGGTCTGACCAATCAAAAAGTGTACCACTATAATATGATAATGACAGTAACATAAACCTTATGAGCAGTCAGAGAAAAATCCTTAATTTTATGCGATAACAAATGGGACCATGAAAAAATTAAGGCATGAAAACTTTTGAAAATGTCATATTATTATTCTGATCCAGAATTGTCTGAAAGGCTATAAATCACGCAATTAGCTAAATTCCATAATCAATGAACACGCATTCAGGAACTGGAAATAACATGGAAACCGGCTGTGGAATCCGGAAGTTATTAGTTGCGTTTTATTTGTCCCATTCTGGTAGCGGTGGTGGGAACAGAATGACGTTTACAAATAAAACGACAAACTTCATGACCTTGCATGGGAGAATTTATATAAGAGGTTATATTTATACAGTGTGTCCCACTTACCATGCTCACCATGGGTATCTTTTTAACGGTGAGAGATACGAGGTCGGTAAAATGACCCCAAATGTGGAGTTTGTCAAGGCCAACTATTATGAGAAAAAAATATTTTGATAAAATCTATTCGTTTTTGTTGTATACGCAAAAAACAGATTTTGATCATTTTCATGTCTCCTCCGTAACTTCTTCATTCATGAAAATATTCAAATAGAAATTTCACATTTTTAGAATATTGTGTTGTACCCCTTTTTGAAAACAATTGACAGCCTGTTTTTTATCACAAAGAAAGGGATCGAATGATACTGTTGATTGCATGATAGCTGAGGTGATTCACTAGCGAATTCAGTTGTTCAATATTGCCTTTCATTTAGATACAGGGTGTGTTTGATTTTGTTGAAGATTATCAAACATGTTTCAATTGAATATCTCGAAAACAGTTCCGTTAATGGGATCTCATTTTACTCACACTATTTTGAATATGTTGACTATCATATGCAAAAAGTTTTTCAATGTTTTATGTTTCGCTTCTGAGTTCTGAGATATGCATTTTTGAGTTTACAGTATTACAGGTATTATAGGGTTATTACTTCGGATATTACTATCGATTCAACTGAACTTTACGGAATCAATACTGTTGAGTTTCATATTGTTATTCTATGTGGTTCGTGTTGTTTATAGTAACAAATTATTGATTTCTAATAGTTTCATAATGTAATTGAATGTTTGAAAGATTCCGTAAAGTTCTGTTGAATCGATAGTGACATCCGAGGTAATAACCCTATAATACCTGTAATACTGTAAACTCAAAAATTGATATCTCAGAAACAAAACATAAAAAATTGAAAAACTTTTTTCACATGATAGTCAACATATTCAAAATAGTGTCAGTAAAATGAGATCCAAATTAACGGAACTGTTGTCGAGATATTCAATTGAAACATGTTAAATAATCTTCAACAAAATTGTTGGTTTTGGAATAGTGCTCGAATTTTTTTCCGAATAATGAATTTTTTGACCGTGCCTCGTATACACCCTGATTCACTATAATGTGATCATAACTAGACATTCATTTGAGTTCCGATCAATACATTTTCTAGCTTATTTTGTCTTATTTATACTACAAAAACAGCTTTTTTCATTGTCAATCCTACCCCGATACGACGTTTTCACGGACTTTGTCGGCTTATATCTCAGAAACTAAACATACAAAACTTATTAAACTCACATATTCTTTTAATGAGCCATTCCACAACAACATAGTAAAATTTCAGCCAATTCGACCGAGAGCCAATTTCCCGTGTTTTCGTGCGGGTTCCTTTCTACGAAAGCGCTGAACGGACATGATACTTTTTTTTTATAATTGCCAGTTTGAACTGGCATTTAGCTATAATTGCTAGTTTGAACTGGCAATTAGCCATAATTGCCAGTTTAGACTGGCATTTAGCCATAATTGACAGTTTGAACTGGCATTTAGCTATAATTGCCAGTTTGAACTGGCATTTAGCCATAATTGCCAGTTTGAACTGGCATTTAGCTATAATTGCTAGTGTGAACTGGCAATTAGCCATAATTGCCAGATTGATCTGGCAATTAGCCATAATTGCCAGTTTGAACTGGCAATTAGCCATAATTGCCAGTTTAGACTGGCATTTAGCCATAATTGCGAGTTTGAACTGGCATTTAGCGCTTTCGTACGAAAGGATCTATAGTCATGTTATCGCCATCTAGTGACGCCAAAAAGCTAATGCGAAGGCGAGCGATTATTTCGACCAACGCAAAGGGCGAGTGGACTGATAATTATTGGCATTCAATTACTCCACTGTGTCGTTAGAGACCTATAGTATATTGTTCAACAAGAACGGAATGTTAGTGATTTTCCCCGAGAATGGAATTTGCAGCATGAGCCGTAGGCAAATAATGCTGCAATCATTCGAGTGGGAAATTATAGTATATTCCCTGCGAGTTATACACCATAATTTTTCTACGGCTGTGACAGATAACAGCGACATTCTTGATTTCTTCTTCTTGTAGGCATCTGATTTCCTCTCAAGTAATGGGCATCTATTAGACAGAGCTGTCATTGCTTGAACTGTGACATTCCATTTGCGGGGGTCCTTTCGTACGAAAGTTCAAACTGGCAATTATGGCTAATTGCCAGTTCAAACTGACAATTATACCTAATTGCCAGATCAAACTGGCAATTATGGCTAATTGCCAGTTCAAACTGGCAATTATGAAAAAAAAAGTATCATGTCCGTTCAGCGCTTTCGTACCTTTCAAATGTCAAAAATGTTTGAGTTGTCTTACCGGAGGACACTCGCCCACACAGAACTGTATGATCACACTGAATCGTACAATAGGAGAATTGGCGAATTTGAAGGCCTGGAAATTCGCGACAAGCACCTTGGTTGTGCCAGCCACGATTTTTTGCAGGGGCGGAAAGATATTCAGGTTCGTGGGACAACCTCTGTCGTCCAACAGAAAAATGGATTCATCATTCTTCTCGGTCATCGCTATGAGATGGCTTGCCCAAATATCGAGATCTGAAAATAAAAAATAAGCTTTCCGTTCAGGTATCCATACAGAGAATAAGTGCACAAAACTGCCATTGTTCTAATTTCTGAATGATTCGAGATCGGATTTTGAAATTTGGTTAGTAGCAAGTACCTATTCTCAATTGCCTCTTATTGACAGAGGTTATTCAATAGTAGATTGTTTTATTAGGATCAAAAGTGACACTTTGTTTGACAAGCGAATTTTGCATTTGCGAGGCGGAGCGTTTAGCGAAGCCGAGCGAAAGCAAAATTTGCGAGACGAACAAAGTCACTTTTGATCCGAATGAAACATGCTATTTTTTCTGCAACCGAAACAAATAACTCAAATAAATATGTGAAGCTACCACCAATACCGTGCCATATGTATGCAATGCAACAAATATTGACAAATAATCCATGTGGTAAGAATATTCTACCTGCATTAACAGCAGGTTAGGTTTTCAAGGATGTTCGAATTGTAGTTTCAATATAAATACAATCACAGAGTGACATATTTGTGTATGGACCAGGTGCTCTAATGGCAAATACCGCGTCAGTGCCAGCTATAGAAACAAGACTTGGAAAATGTTAGAGGTTAGTGAGCACATCAACAATTCGCTTGATAATCAAATGGAGGTTAACAATATCGTTGTTTGAGAAAAAAAACTATTGCTTGCCGTGATTATCCAAAAACAAGTTATCCATCCCGAGAATAACGAATGAAATACAGATCAAGCAAGTATTTGAATCTTGAAGGCTTCCCTGATCAAACAAAAATACTTATCTGAGATGTTTATAATTCCAATACTAAACTATAATAAGGTGTATTTATATATCTCCAGTATGGGTATGAAATGCCAAATCTGCTGAAATCGGAAACAAATCAGGTATGCCACTCAACCCAAATAACCAACCGTCACAATGTTGTTTATTCTTGATGACGTCCAGTAGATCCTTTTTAGTTCCTACACAGAGAAAAAACTTTAATAATGGTTATTTAACATTGAATAGTCACAGTTAAAAACTTGAATACTATATGGGACAGATATACAGTATGATAGTGGTAGATAAAATATTTTACCTGAATTGGTATACCTGCAACAGACACTCAATTATATAGTTCATTGATCGTTAATGAATGAATATATTTAAAATCAACTCAGGATTATTGAAGTGTTGAATAACATTGATTAAACAGTTTAATTACCATTGAACATTAAGTAATTCCCTTTGAAACCTTGCTATATTATCTTACAGACTTCTTCACCTGTTGTAGGTTCACACTTCGATGATAGTTATTCAATAGTTCAATAAATTTTCAATACTATATAGTTGCCACAGGTGAAAAAGCATGCTGTTACAGAAAAATAGGTGATATTCTCTGAGATTTATCTAACTGATGTTAGGTACATCCTTTAATTACTACCACTGAAGAATACAATAATTATTCCAGAAACATTATTAAGTTGTCCTCGGATCATAAATTACTCGTCTCTGGAACATAATTCAATTATTTCAGATGTGCAATTCAATTGAAATATTGGGGATGTTCAATGTGCATACCTCTGAAAATATTTTCAAGGTATCACACAATGGGGATGGTGATTCTATAGAAGAGAAAAAACATTGTACAAAATATAGGTACATCATATAATATATTCTAGTCATTTGTAATTTCAGTACAAACTACATAAATGAATGAACTTGAAATAATTATTTTCAAAACACAATAAATGTCGAACTGACTCATATACAAATATATTTCAGACGTTGATGGAGTATCTGCGGGCCGCGGGGGTACTAGGTCCTCTTGAATTCAGATCAAGTGGCATCAAGTTCTAATCAGGAACATCATTACCATCAGCACCCTGAAATATGAAAATTTCTCTATATAATGTGTTAAATTTCTCCTATTATTTTCTTGAAAATTCAAACAAATAATCCTATTTCAAGAGATTCATTGGAAGAATAAACTCTTAACAGGTAGCGTACGTCCCGTGAGCCCATCCAAGTAAGGCCATTCTTTATAAAACTTCACTTTGACTCAAATCCAGAGACACCGAATAAGAAAAATCAAGATCCGTTTCCTGAAATTTTTTCCCGTGTACCTACTATCAGAAATAAGATTTTTTTGCAAACATTCACAGTAGAGAGTCTTTTCATTTTGATATTTCCCAATTTATTTCTCGGCTTTTGTGAAATATAACCATAAAAACTCTTCGGTTTGGGTAATATCTTGAGATCAACAATTCATTTATTTTTCTGAGATTATATATTTCTTTAATCTTCAACAAAATTTAAACTACTTAACAAGTGACTCCCTACTGAAATTTCGACACCAAAGAGCACACTCGATAAAAATATTGAGAGGTCACAACCAAAATAGGAGATATTTTCAAAATATAACCTCTTCAAATGAAAAATGAATGGCAAGAACCACGAATAAAACGGACATATTATATCAGATGTAACAATTAATTGCAAATGATCAACCAACATAAGGAACTAGAGGGCTTAGAATCATTTTCGGAAGGAGAAAAACATATCACTAAAAAACGTTTGCGCCCAAAAAGATTTCTTCATGCACGGAGAAAAAGGAATGTTATATTACTCACCGAGAAAGAAAGAAGAGTTTTGCGTAAACTTCGCCAAACCCTGCTGTTTCAAAGTGTCGTCGATGAACTGCTTATGCTGCTTCTATTTTTCAACTCTCGACCTGGGGCTAGTCGCTCCATAGTGATAATGTCACTGGGAGAAATGTTTTTGGAATAGTCACAATCACTTAACTTACATGCACAACACAAATTTTCCAGAATAGAAAAAGGCACGCATTAGTGTTCGCGTCAACTCATAAACATCTCAGCAAACACCAAAGGTACATATTCTTAGTACAGATACAGACTGAATGAAGTGCAGAAGAGTTGCGCAGTCAGCTCGTGGCGTAATCGTGGGTATTCGAAACTAGCCGAATGATGACGAAACAGAGAAATCAAGTGAACTGTTACCTGTTGTTATTTAACTGGTAATAATGGCAGAATTATTCCTTTCACTCATAGAAAACATGGATTGAGGGACAATTATATTAATGTTAGGTAGATTGTTGTATACTGAGAATTAAATACATCGATAAAAATTAATCAAGCACAAGAAAGATGGCCTGTTCCAGGAGCATAGTTAACCTGCCACTGGAAGTCGATATCAGAAAAAAAAATTCACCTATTGTAATGGTACAAGAGTTCATTAATATATTTGTGGGTATTGAGTTTTACTCAAGTGTACTTGTGTACCTGGACCGTTTTTCTCTGTGAGGAGCTTAAGTTGAACTTTATATGTTGCCTAGCAACATACCTATTTTCGTGTCAGTAGTAGAAACGTCAATTCAAGAGCTAATTTTGGTATCAAAATGGACGACTTTTGTGTCGGTTGCAGAAAAAAATAATTTTTATTCTCGGAAAAAATTAAGGGCGTACAATATTTTTTTTCAAAAAACCTCCAGGATACATCCCTTACGTACACCACTGGCAGAGATATTAACAAATCTTCTGCTTCGAAAAATGCCTATTGGTGCTTATTGAAATTTCATGAAAATATCTAGAACGGTATTGAAATTTTAGCAAGTTTCCTTCTAAAAATGAGCTAAGGAACCATATCCTTTTTTATTCAGACATCAATTAAATTACACCCTGTATACAGTTCAAAATTATTGTTTCATTCAACGAAATCACTAGGAATTCAATGATTCATACCTATAGTATAGATGCTTTCTAATACATATATCTGGTTTTTGAGATGCCAGGTAAAATGTGTTATTTTCGGTATATATTATCAAATGATCAGTGAACTTTACAATGTTGAAGGTTTTTGTATACAAGCGACCGGTCGCAACCATTCGTATTTGTCATTCTGATTAGTCACGTGACACTGACGGCCAGTCGGTCAATCCGGTCGCGTATTGGCATTGTCTCCTATGGTACGACGCAACCTGAGAAAAATGTATGCCGAATCGCGGAAGACAATGTCCCACGATTTGGCAATGATACGCGCGACATTCTCTCCTGCTTTAGGACGCTATGTGCTGAATATTGAAGCGTCTGGATCTTGGTAAAACTGCATTTAGCATGCGATGGGCTTCTTTTCGAAAAATTTTTTTGGTACTTACGTATTTTTGTCTGAAAAATACGAAATTGATAATGAAAATGTGAACAAACCATTATTTATCAAGATATTTCACTATAAAGTTACAAATTTCACCTTCTTTTCCGCCTGTCTTCTGGATTGAATTCAAAACAATTTACCCTTCTTTTTTCATCATTGGACAATTTATATATATCACAATGTAAGACACATTTTTTCTATAATTGAGTCAACTAGAAATATGATTTTCTTGTGATTCATTCATATTTATTGAAAAGAAGGAAGAATATCATTTGAAATAAAGGCGTGTAATGTCATTCCAAATTCCAAAGCAATCTATTGACATTTGACATCTCGTATTTGGATTGCCTAATGCCTATGGATAAAATGGCCGTCATCTGGTATGCTTGCTCACTAAATAGGAAAAACGCACCATAAAAATCATATTTCCTGTTGAATTTTCTGTATAAAAATGTGTCATTGAAGTACATCATGAGTATATAAAGTGTCCAATGACAAAATAAGAAGAGCAAGTACCTGATAATGCATCCAACGCAAGGGGAAAAAGGAGTCGAAATTTCGAACTTTTTTTTGAAATATCTCGATAAATAGTGGTTTGTTCACATTTTCATTATCAAATTCGTGTTTTTTAGACAAAAATACGTAAGTACCAAAAAATTTTTTCGAAAAAAAAACCATCGCATGCTAAATGCAGTTTTACCTTGTATTCAGACGCTTCAATATTCAGAACGTAGCGTCCTAAAGCAGGAGAGAATGTCGCGCATATCATTGCCAAATCGTGGGACATTATCTTCCGCGATTCGACATACATTTTTCTCAGGTTGCGTCGTACCATAGGAGACAATGCCAATACGCAATCTGGCCGACAAGCAAAAACTCTACCTACGCGGGAGTAATTTCCTGCATTCCTGAATTTGAAATACTTACTATCATCCCTCGATTTGAGTTCAATTCTGAGTTGTAATTCTTGTCCGATCTGTGTATCACTGACTTCTTGTCCAGTATGAGGGTCCACGATTTTCATTTCTATAACTGGTGGATTCGATGTGTTATTCATAGTCGGGCTGATTATGGCACTACCCTTGTTTGGTAACACCCTGAAATCGTTTTGAGGTTATACAAGGTGGACCAATAGTGTGACAAAGCGAGATTGCAGCTCTGCTATCAGAGATGGAAGAACAAAATTTTTACAGGAGTTGTAGGTCCAAGAGATGCATATTTCAAATTATCCTCCATTATACAATGTGTCTCAAAAAAGTGTGGCATATCAAAGTTAAGTTTTCTTAAATGGAACACCCTGTATTTTATTGAATTTTTATATTCCCTCTGAAGAGCTGAACTCAACGATCTAGCACACTTGGGGTCTAACGGAAATGAATACCGAGTGTGGAAAATCGAATTTTTTGGGGGTCGAAACTATTCATCAGTGGTCAAAAGGGCTTGGAACAGATACAAGGTGGCGCGGAACTCAGAATTCTACACCACCCTATATTTGATTCAATTAAATGTCAGTAAATAGTAGATCAAAAGTCGAGATAGGGACCTGAAAGTCGTTTTGTTTGGTCACAAAAAATTCCCAAAGTTGAAAAATCTCGAATTTCCACACCATTTATCTCGGTAATGATGCCTGCTAGATCCCAAGTGTGCTAGATCGCTGAATTCAGCTCTTCAGAGAGAATATAAATATTCAATAAAATAACAGAGTGTTCCATTTGAAAAAACATAAGTTTGATATGACACACTTTTTTGAATAGAGAATGATTTCGAAATATACATCTCATGGATTCACAACTCCTGTAAAACTTTTTTTCTTCTATCTCTAATAGCAGAGTTGCTATCTCGCTTTGTCACACTATCGGTCCACCCTGTATAATGGGTCAAGTCTGTAATTTTATTTTGGAGTGAGTCACTTTTAGGCATCAGAATAAAATGCTACCATTTCAATATCGAAATAATACGTCACAGTTTCGCATTGACCGCAATTTTTTGAATTTCAATGTAGTTTTTTGAAATTTCGGTTGAATGTGGTGACTTTTTGTTTACTTTTTGAACATGTTATAAGGTACCACCCCCCATAGGTACCTACTCATTTATTTTCGACATGAAAAAATAGCGTTATCCTTAAAAAAATACACGGAGCAACAAAAAGGGTAGAAATATTAAATTGAACAGCATGCAGGGCGTTTATCCAGAAAGAGGTGGTTTAGGTTATGTAATTTGGAACATATTTTACCATATATACTATTATACTAAGTGTAACACTTTTCGAGATATCATCGCTTATAAATTCGAAGTTCGATGTTACAAAAATTCGTTCGATGAAATACGTATTCAACTTTTCATAAAAAAGAGATACAATCAGATAAAATGTTTGAGAAAGCGATATCTCGAAATTCTCAACACTTTGTATTATGTATATATGTTCGACGAAATGTTCTCACACCCTCTGTGTATATATAGGTCTATTATTCTTCTGTATATACTTCAAAATATGGGCTTACAAAAATTACGAAGTTTGATCAATTCTTTTAATCTCTTGGAGCGCACGCTTGACAATGATGACTGATTTTATTTGATTACCGTCGAAGATTTACTAATTTAGATAATGAATATATTTTCTTCTTGAAATAGGCCCAAGAATCACCTCCTCAAAAATTGCCATTCAATTAGGAAACACGTTCCACCTGATGGATTTGCAATCAACTTCTCTCCAGAACCGGTCAAAGATCAATCAAACTATCTCCTTAAGATGAGAAAATCATGAAAATCATCAATATCTCAAAGTAGTCCAACCAAAATAATTTCAGAAACAAAAAACAAGCAGAATAAAGTCGGCTGACCACAATTTATGTGAAAATAAAAGTACCAAACAATATATGGGGCTCAAAATGTACCATTATTATAGAAATCAATCAAGTCATGGTGATATGTTTTCGCAAATACATCACCATGACTTGATTGATTTCTATAATAATGGTACATTTTGAGCCCCATATTGTTTGGTACTCTTACCTGATGATGGCCGTAGTGCCGAAACAAGTTATACATGTAATCGAAGTGTTTTTATGTAATGTGTGGTCGACCGACTTTGTTCTGTTTGTTTTTCTTTTGAGATGAAGGAATATATTGGGTATTCTATTCAAAATTCGTGCACTTTCTGTTGCTCCCTGTATAATTTTTGAGATAATGAGAACTTGTCATTCGATTCAAGAATGAAAAAATTACTTGTGAGGGCCGTTTTTCATTTTTTTACTGTCAAAAGTGAGAGAGTGGGGGTGGTATCGCAATATTCCCTATTTTTCAAGACATATAGGAAAATGATATACTTCTAATGACTGAAAATCCCAGGGGTGACATCGTCCATGTGGCCACGCCATTTATTTTATAATCTTGTTAAAATTTTGCCCAGACAGCACTGGATTCCTAGAATATTATCTAACTATGCTAAACAGGATGAGTTTATTCCGAATATCCACCGAATATTTCCAGAATATATGGACGCCTCTTGAACATCCAAGGAATATTCCAATGTGAATATTCTTGTAATATATCACAGCATATATTTTGAGAATATTCTAGTTGGATTGTTCCCAACTGAATATTCTGTGTTGTATATTCATGAAATATTCCCGACTGAATGTTCTGTGGTGTATATTCATGAAATATTCCCAACTGATCATTCTGTGTTGTATATTCATGAAATATTCCATGAATATATTCCCATGCTTTTCAACACATGAACACCAATCATTTCAGAAATATGTTTGTTATTGTATCAAACAATAATTATATGTAAGGAGATTTTGAATCGAAAAGTGTTTATGATCCGATTCTGAACGACGCTACTCGATACTCGTCTATGCTCTAATAGCCTGAAAGTCACGGGTTCGTTCCCATCTTTGGGTAACTTTATTTTATTGTAGATAAGTGTTTATTGGAATATTCCAGGACCATTCAACATAGGATATTCTCTTGGACATATTATATCAATATCTGAGGAATTCTATTTGCATATTTAGAGAATATTCCACGCATATTCTAGAATTTTCTTGATTATGACTAAGATATCCCAATATTCCAAAAGTTATATGATAGGGAGATTGCTAGAATTTTCCAAATTATTCCTAGGATATTCCAATATTCCAAAAGGAATATGATAGGGAGATTCATGGAATATCTGTTGCTGTCTGGGTCACTATTGCGAAGAATCATCTTCACATATTTATCAAACTTACGGAGAAATCGTCACTCCTGTACCAACGACAACTTTTGTATCATTCCCAAAAATACAACCAACCCTTATGAGTCTGTCGCTCTGCGTCTGTATGATGGGGTTGAACTGTATTATCATCTCGCCTGATAATAATGTCCTGAAACAGAGATGCATTTAGTGAAATTTGTCCATTGCAAAGATGGGACCCAATTTCCCACAGGTAAAAACTTAGAAGTATCAAAAGAAATGTTGAAACTATACACTCGATTCAAGCAATCAGCATAAATCACTCCATACGAGTTGATACGACAGGGTGTTCTATAAGTTAAGTATACGACGAAGACTTTTAATTTAGATCGAAGTAACAAAAGGCCTTGCATTACTGGACCAGTAGGTACTTTCAAAGAAAGTTTTTGACGAGCATTCACGATTGCGTTGCCCTACCTGACGGTGTGACAATATGACAATAAGCACAAACAAAATACAAATGTGAATCAATGAAAACAAAGTGATCAGGCCGCTTTGACAGCTTTCAAGAACACCGATAGGTGGCGTACGCTTATTTTCTATCGTGAATAGGTCTTTTGACCTGAACGTCAAAGGAAGAGGAGCAGTTTGGAAAAATATTGAAAAAAGGGGTTTCTTAAAAAATTAAATTTTAAAAACCATCTATTCTTCACCTTGATTTTTGCACAGAAAAATAGGTTCTTGATTGAAAAATGATGGTTGTATATACATTGATTTATATACCTCATTGGGAGATTCGGAAAAAACGATTGAAAGAACCACAGAAAACCGCAATTTTAAACCAATTATAGTTATTCACGAAAAAATAAGTTGAGACGAGAGAAATAGATGGCTGTATGAACATTGACTTACATACCTGGGGAGGAAAGCAATTTGGAGAAAACGATTGAAATTACTTCAAACAATCAAGTTTTCAAACCAATCAATTCTTCACCTTTATTTTCACACAGAGAAATAAGTTGTGATGATAGAGAGAGAATGACTATATATATTCACGTTGATTTACATACCTTGGGAGAGAGGCAATTTGGAAAAATCGATTGAAAATACCTACAAATCAAATTTTCAAAACCAATCAATTCTTCACCCAGCTTTTCCTACAGAAAATGGGTTTATATGATATAAAAAGAATGGTTTTATACATATTGACTGACATATACCTTCAAGGTATATAATTCAATATGTATATTACCTTGGAGGGGAGCAATTTGGTGAAAGATATTGAAACTACCTCAGAGAATCAAATTTTCAAAACTAATCAATTCTTCATCTTGATTATACTACAGAAAAATAGGTTACGATAATATTGTAAAGATGTAAAATTTCTTGATGGTAGGTTTTTGGCACATTTGTAAAGTTACGCTAGAATGTACTATTTTTTATCGATTAACCTTGCAGGCTTTGAGGTTTTTTGAGACACCGATTATATTGATGCGGGGCGTAAAAGTGGTTCCTCCACCAAATTCTCGAAGGACTACCTATTGATCACTTCTTCAGAAAGTGTTTTCTTTCTCAAATCCACAACTCTAATTTCTCCCACTACGACACGGTTTGATTTCAAATTTAATCTCATAGTTCCAGTAGGAGTGCATACCCCAAATAAATTATTCTTGATTAAACGAAAAAGTACGTATAAGGAATCAGATTTATGACTCGCTGCTGTTATGACATCTCTTTGTGTGGCGTCATTGTGAACTAGGAATTTTGGTGAAGGAATTACTCAGGTACTCCCCACCATCAGAAGAATAGGTAGTATGTTATTGTAATGGCCTATATTCCAAACAGGGCCGATCCTAGCGGGTGTGCAGCGCGTGCCTCGCACGCGGGCGGCCAAAACAAGGGGCGGCCGCAGGCCGCATATTGTCCTATCAAACAAAATTATTTGAAACTCATAAGTCGAATGAATATGCTGCATTTTGAATAAATAAAATGATAGTAATAGTAAATAGTGTGTTGGTCCATTGTCAATTAATGTCTACTTTTTATACACATTCTTATCTTCCCAAATTTTAAATTTCTATTTGAAACAATAACCAAGGGGCATATTTTTCAGACGCCTAAGGATGTTTTGTTCCATCACTGTGCGGTAGCTTATTTATGCATTTCTACTTCTTACTAAGAGACTATGAGAGAAAATCCCAAAAAATCTGGAGAACATCCACTTGGTTAAACTACAGACACCATTTAAAATACTTTTCACTCGCTCTTCTTATTGTTCTTATTTTCAGATGCCAGATCATTTTATATCAATTACAATAAACTGTAATATACTAATGTGATAATGAATATACCACCTCCTCGATTAACCTACAGACAGTATTTAATGTGATGAATTTGAATCCCAACAAAAATTTCGCCTGCGGCGCATTTTTTGCCATAGGAAAATTTTGTCAGAGTTTCTTGGCCGCTCCCGGTATGCACTGAAATGGAGTTATTACCTGAAAGCATTTGACCTTGAACTCAGAAAAAATTCGCCTGCGGCGCATGAAGATTTTGTCTACATTTATTTCTGTGTTTTACTTCTGATCCTTGTACAAGTAGTTGAAGTTATGAAGTCATCAGGTATTATAGTTAAAAAATATGAAAAATTCTTTAGAGGGGCGGCACATTAGGTTTATGCACGCGGGCGGCCGACACCCTAGGATCGGCCCTGATTCCAAACAAGCGAAAAGTTCAAAAGTTTGGCATAAGCCATTCCTAATCTGTTGTAGACTATACAGGGTGTTTCCTAACTACGGTTCCTAACTGCAGGTGGTGATTCGTTAGGTCATTTTAGGAAGAAAAGTTCCTATTAACATATGTCCGGAGTTGCTTCGTTCCTGAGGTACAAGGCGTTGAAATTAAAGAAAAAAAAACGGTTATTATAAAATATCATGAATATCCTTGAACCGATTTGGTTGAAATTTGGTACTTTCATTTGAACTGATAAGGCGCTTATTTAGCCCTATTTAGATTGAAATTATTGGGGCCAGTGGCGTCTCAGTGGGCACCACAGCCAACAATATTGTGAAAAAAAGTACGCCACTGACTTTTTTGATTTTTTTTTTATTTTTTTCAGATTGAGCAGCTCAAAATACAACTTTTTGGTCTCTTGTGTTTTCTTCATATCCAGCTTCGTTTTCGAGAAAAAAAATCAAAGCCACTGTATTGCATATCATGAACACCTGCATTGAAGAGATGAGTTTTTATTATTTCCGCCAAAAAATATAATTTACACTCGATATGCTGAAATTTCAGAAAATTTTACATATACAAGTACCAAACTTCAACCATATCGGTTCCAGGATATTCACGATATTTTATAATTACCTTTTTTTTTTCTTTAATTTCAACGCCCTGTATCTCAGAAACGAAGCAACTCCGGGCATATGTTCATAGGAACTTTTCTTCTCAAAATGACCTAAGATATAACCCCCTGCAGTTAGAAACCGTAGTTAGGAAACACCCTGTATACTCTGTCACCAACAGGATTGTGTGTAATGAGTGTTTTAAGAAGCATATTACGCACGAATGTAAGTAATAATGAAACATTATTTTCGATTCAATTCAAGTCAACTTATCTGCCTAATAATTAAATTGAATAACATTCTCCCGAAATCGATACCTACATCGAAACGTATAAAATTTAGCCAGGCAACACTAGACCACACTAGACATCTACATCAATCAGTATGTTGCCGGGGTAGCAACCGGGTGGGATAAAATCCCACCCTCCTCTCACAAGACCCCCATCTTTCGACTTATACTGACAGCACCCCCGGGAGAAACGGAGGATTTGAATACGCCGAATCAGCGCGCTAAAGCCATCTCCGTTATGTAACGGCATGTTCTCCTGCTACCATTTCATTATACCAATGATGAGGCCGTCTGATAAGACAGACTACTGCCTCTGCAGTGTCAGTGCCCGAGCAGAAATGCTGCTCACCCGCCGAGGCAGGCAAGATATCCTCCCACTTGACCCATAGTGGGATTCTTCTTCACCTCCTCTACCGTAGTCCGGTGGTGTTTTTTGGAAACCGCTGCCCCCTGGATAGTCCAACCCAATTGGTGAGGCATCAGGCCGTATGTGCGACCTAATGGGGCTATCCTCATCACCCCAGGTACCCATGTCAACAAAATTCCTCTTGTTACGTTTGATGGGTCGCCGTCGCAAGAGGTTTTGGCCTGATTGCTACTCATGTTGACAAGAATCCTCTGGTCCCGTTGAATGAGTGATCGTTCGAGGACTTTTACACGTTCCTCTACCTCGTTTACAGGAGAGGACCCGGCTTTGCCTACGATGGCTGGCGGTAGGATCGCTTGGGGCTGCCCCTTCTCTGACGAACTAAGGCACAAGGTACACCAAAGTTCCATTTTTCGCTGAGCAAGCCCAGCTACCCATATCGACCGGAATCCTCCCGTTTGATGGGTGTCCGTTCGCGGCATTCTTCACGTACGGCTACCATGACAAGAGTGGGGACCTCAAGCTTTTAACCAGTGGTACCTGAATCACCTGGGGCTACCCCCACCCCGACGCCGTAAGTACATGGTGGGCCCACGGCCACAGCCGGCTAGACATCTACAGACCAATTTCGAGCTCTTTGACTCTTATCAGTGCAGGGCAGTCTACAGCCAGCAGTCCTAAGACCGCCGACTAAGCGTAGCCTAGCCAAACAAAAATCAAGTCGGCATTATATTCCCCCAGAGGCGTCTTTCATAGACAATATGAAAGCAACGCGATCTGAGTAGGAAAGAAGGAAAGAATCACTCCAAAACTGAAATTCCCATACGGATGTGGCCGGTTGCTCGACTGGCGTAATAGCCATAATGGCTATTTCGTAGTTGAAATTACGCCAGTCGGGCAACCAGCCACTTCGGTATGGGAATTTCTGTTTTGGATTGATTCTTTCCTTCTTCTCTACTCAGATGGCGTTGCTTTCATATTGTCTATGAAAGCCCCCCCCGGGGGGGAATATAATGCCCACTTGATTTTTGTTTGGCTAGGCTACGCATAGTCGGCGGTCTTATAGGACTGCTGGCTGGAGACTGCCCTGCACTGATGAGAGTCAAAGAGCTCGAAACCGGTCTGTAGGTGTCTAGCGTGGCCTGGCTAAATCGAAATCAATAGGCACTCAGGAAAGAATCACTTGTATCAGTATTCGTAAATACGAGTCGATGCATAGATTTTTGAATGATTTGATTCAATGTTCTGCGTGGCATTAACAAAGAAAATAGTTGTTTTCCTCCGGAAATCTACCATTGTTGTTCATTTTATGAACATTGTGTGGAAATGACTTCAAGCTTGTTGTATTTATCTATATAATAAATTATTATAATATTACTTCTACCTTTGCAATGGCTCCTCAGCTTTGATGATACCACACTGTCCTGACAACAAGGGTAATCTTAAGGTGGTGATATGGAATTTTCCCTCCCCATCCGCAGAACAGGAAGGATTATCGGAGAAACCTTGCATGAACATCTTTCCAACAAAATCTATCTCCGGGTTGTAACGTACCGTCATATACGTTTCACTGCATGAAACGGTGACTAAAAAATATTGTTATTTGAGGTTCAGGTTTCGTCTCGGGTTTCGTCCTATTCTCCAACTAGATAGAACACTGATGTCAGTGCCTGAGAGTCGATTCTCATGCAAAACTCAATGGTGAAAATCGCATATGGATATCTGTCTTCGTTTCGGAGTTACAAGGTGTTCTTCGAAAATGGGCATTTTTGAAAAGTGGCTACTGATATTTTTTGGGCTAAAAGTGTTCTCATGAAAATAACTGCAAAGCATTGAGTTTGTGATAACAATCCTTTCTGAGGCACTGAAATCGGCCTTCCTATATAATAATAATAATAATAATAATAATAAATCGGCTTTATTAACGGAGTGGATACAAATTCTTAGTGTGCAACACTAATTTTGGCGAAGTCTCTGATAGCTACTCATACTCAACCAAATTAGGTCACAGGATATACTTAATATACATATATACACATGTTACAATACAATGAGAAATCGTGAAACAAAACAAAAAAAATCAATCTGAATTGCAGAAATACTTCTTAAGCTGGGCTGTTCCTCCAGGGGCGTGGGTGAATATGTGTTCATTGATTAGTAAAAAGAAACTGTTTGTATTTGTATTTGAATTTATTTATATTTAGAAGTTCAAACTCTTCAGGTAAAAGGTTATAAAGATGAATTGAATTGAATACAAATGATCTCTGAAACATGGAAGTGCGATGATGAGGCATAGTTAATTTGTTTATTTTTCTGATGTTCCTTGAGTGTACTCTGATACGTGGAATTAACTTGCTTTTTAAGGGGGATGATTGTGGCATATTCATCAGTTTTAAAACAAAGGTAGCTAGGTGATGATTTCTTCGATTAGTCATATTCAACCATTTGGTTTCCTTGAATTTTCGAGAAATAGATTCATATTTCCGGATGCCATAGATCAAACGACAGCATGAGTTTTGGACATTTTGTATACGATTTTTATCGAATGAAAGTAGACATGGGCCGTATATAAAATCACAATAATTGAAGTGACTTAATACCAGTGAATCACATAATATTTTCTTCAATTTTACACTCATGATATGACGGTTACAGTATAAAAATTTCAGTGTAAATAAGCTTTCTTCATCAAATTCTTGACATGTTCTGAGAATCTGAGCTCTGCATCGAGCTGGATGCCTAAATTTCTCGTTGACTCTACAATGTTCAAAATATGACCTTCAATATTAACATGCAAGTTTTCACTGATCGTATTTCTTTTGGCATGTGTGACAAAAGACATCAGAGTTGTTTTCTCAGAATTGAGTTGTAGATCATGTTTTTTCGACAGATTCTTGATTGTTTCAAGATCCCGATTAATGAGAATTTGCACATTCATATAATCATCGATATCGAAGTGCGTATAAAGTTGTATATCATCGGCATAGGCTTGTACTTTGCAAAACTCAACAGAAGTAAGTATATCAGCAGTATAGATGATGAAGATGAGCGGTCCAAGAATAGATCCTTGGGGCACCCCTGAGAAGATATCCAAGGATGAAGAATACTCATTATTTATAGAAACTCGTTGTGACCTGCCTAACAAATAAGACCATATAAGAAATGCCGCATCATCATCAACACCATAATAGCGCAGTTTAGCACAAATTAGTTCATGATTTATGGTATCGAAGGCTTTCGAAAAATCTAATAGCACAAGCAAGCTAGCCAGACCCTTATCTAATGATTCGATGATATCCGTTGTAACCATTGTCAGTGCCGTACCAGTGCTATACCCCTTTCTGAAACCACACTGCGAATCAGGTATCAACTTTTTCATTGTAAAGTATTCAAATATTTGATTATAAATGATTCTTTCAAAAATTTTAGACATAGTTGGTAAGATACTGATGATTCTCAAATCAGAAAAGCTCGAAGGATCACGTTTTTTGGGAAAAGGTTTACCAACAGCAATCTTCCATTGACTCGGAAAATATGACTTTTCGAAACAGCAGTTAATTATATGTGTAATATAAACGTCAATAAATGGACTGCAATATTTTATCATATAAGACGATATTTGGTCGACACCTAAAGCCTGAGTTTTTATACCTTGTAAAATATTATGAACATCTTCTGCGGTCGTTAAATGAAATGAAAATTGGTTATCAAGATTAAATGAATTTGTACTAAAAAAATCAATCTTCTCATCACAATTATTGGTAACATTTTGTACAAATTTAGCAAAGAAATTATTGATTTCGTTGGGATTTGATAAATGATCAGGTATCATGAGATTATTATTAGCACGAATATTAAGATATATTGCTCAGTGCATTCCATGTTTTACGATAATTATTTTCAGCACAAACTGACCTTAAATAAGCTTTTTTCTCAGCTCTCACCATCGACAATGTGTAATTACGAATATCTTTATAACTCGACCAATCTGCCTCCGTTTTTGTATTTTTGAATTTTTGTAAGGCTCTATCTCTTTCTCTCATTATTAATTCAATCAAAAAGTTAGGAGTGAGCCAAGGAGCAGGAGGTTTGGTAACTCTTGCTTGTCTGATAGGAGCATGCTTATCAAAGTTTGTGATGATCAGGTTATTTAGAATCTTGAGTTTGTTGTCAATGTCCTCTTCCAAAATCACATCAAACCAAGGTAATGTTTGGAGGTCGTTCAAGAAGGAATCAATGTTGAAGTCTTTAAAGCATCGATAAGTTACAGTCGAGTGTGCTCGGCTCTCATGGTTGGTGTAAAATCATAGCAGAATTTTGAAGATACCTCACAAAGATAATAACCAGCAAAATGGGAGTACTCACTGTTCAAGCAACTGGCTTTTTCATAATATGTAGAATGTTGTGTTCCGATTAGGAGGGAAGGTCCAAATATTTTGGTATCTTCGCTGTGCAAATAGCAAGTATTTCTGTTGATTGTAGTAAATGCTCTGCAGTTGAAGTTCTTGAAACTCTCACATAAATGTTGGCAGTTTTCTTTGGATGTCTTCTGGAATGATACGTCGCTATGTGCTAGAGTAACATTGTCGTATTCTTCGTATGCACAAAACTCGTTTTCTGAAACATCAAAGTTTTGTTAAATTGTTGGGATTTTCTCTTGTCGTTTGTAGGATGAAAATATGAGGCATCATTTCTACATAAATATGTAACAATATGATTTGGAGGAGGAGATCAAGTTCTAACTCAAACTGAACCAAAAAACACTCAAAAGAATTGTATATAGGGTGTCCCGAAATTACCTACCAAGATTTGAACCATAGATTCTAGGAACAAAAACGTAAAAACAGATTCATAAATTTTATGAGTTTTTCGAAATTTTGTTCAGGCGCGTGGGGCTAGGGGAGTAGGTATTCGGCTTCTCCAGTCCAGCCCCTCCCATCCACCTTTCTCCAAACCACGTGACCTGACTAGCTAGTCATAACTACTATACTATCGAATGAATGTACTCACTCCATAATATTGAGAAAATAGTGAAAAGAGCAATAAACAGCTGAATAAACAAAAATATATCATTATGACGTCACGCTATAACAGACAGAATCGAAAACTAAATGAAATGAGCATGCGCCAAGAATAATCCAAGAACGGTTCATGCTCGAGAGCAGGTACTGGTTTCGGATAGTTCTAGGACCGTCCCAGGACGATTCTGGAAAAACCCGAACGCGTAAAGAGTCAGTCCTAGAACAGTTCCTCGAAACCAGAACGCGACCTACTGCGCAAACTCCTGACAGTTCTAGAACCGTAATAGTTCGAAGCTGAATGAACCTACCCTTTGAATTCAGCTTTCCATGGAGATTTCAAAAATTGAATAATATATAGGGTGGTTCATTTGAAAATATTGTCGCAGACGTCATAGCTGCAACGTTTTTTTTCTGGTTCCCACGAAAAGGGATATCCTGAAATGTTCAGAGAACATCGTGAGAACCAAGGGAAATAAAGTGGGAATTGGTGATCTTCTTGAATTTCTTGAGGTAATATGCCTCGGGGAACACCTCCCTTGGCAATGTATTCCAGAGCCTCGCTGTTCGTTGGATGAACGAGTCTTTGGAAAGAGATGTTCTGCAGGTCTCCAAAGTGACCACGAAGGGGTGCGAAGCCTCAACTCGACGGGTTAATCTCGCGGGACAGCCAAGGGAGGAACAATTGTTGATATTTCAGAAGAGCATCGTCCTCGAAAATATCTATAGAATAGAGCCAGATCGTCAACTTTTCTACGATGTGCCAGAGATGTGAGTGAGTTTGTGAGCGATGCATCACCCACGAGACGAATTGCCCTTTTTTTGGACAGAATCCAACAGTTATAGGGTATGTCCGGGTGCTACACTCCAAATATGGGAACAGTATTCCAGGACAGGTCGGATCTGTGCCTTATAGATCATAAGCAGCTGACTGGAAGTGAAATAGCTCCTGGCCCGAAACAGGAAACCAAGTTTTTGGGATGCACTTTTAGCAGTTGATCTCACGTGATTTTCCCAAGAAAGGTTATCCAAGCATCGACATGGATGTCTTCAAAAGTATGGTTACTCCTGAGAAGCTTATGTTGGGCACAGTGAGATCGGCTTTTCTAGAGAAAAGGCATGCTTGTGTTTTGTTTGCATTGAAATCTACCAAGTTATTGGATCCCCATTCGAGAATTGTTGCCAAGTCCATATTTATGTTGTCAACATTTCTCCCTCGTTCGTTCCTGATTTGCCTGGCTGGTATTGGAGCCCTGGAAGAGAAAGCGGTATATGGAGGGTACTATCATCCGTGAAGCTGTGTACTGGACAAGTTGCTTCCAACGAATCGTTGATATGGAGTAGAAATAGTGTTGGTGCTAGAATTGATCCTTGCAGAACACCAGCATTTATAATAAGAGAGTCAGATGGAACTCTGTCGACCACTACATGGAGAGACCTGTTTGAGAGAAAACTAGCTAGCAGAGAACATAGCTGGGAGGCAAGCCATAAGATGGAAGCTTGGCGAGGAGTCCGTGGTGCCAGACTCGATCGAATGCCTTGGAGATATTAATTGCCACGGCTAAGGTTTCACCATATTTTCCAATAGATTGCTGCCATATATGTGAGACGTAAGCGAGCAGGTCACCAGTGGATCTCTGATGACGGGAGCCAAATTGCCTATCGTTGATAATACCTGAATGTTCCAGGTATTTCATGAGCTCGTTGTTGATAGCTTTCTCCATGATCTTTGAAATAATAGATAGCAGTGCGATCGGTCTGTAGTTGCTAGGTAGATTCTTTTTGCCTTTTTCAGGAACTGGTTGTACTCTTGCAATTTTCCAGTTGGACGGGAATATCCCCAATTTGTAAGAGTAGTTGAACAAATTGCAAAGAACAGGTGTTAGTTCGGGAGCACATTTCTTGAGAACTATCGGTGGGATTCCGTCGGAGCCATAAGCTTTGTTGGTGTTGAGACCCAATAAAATCTTTCTTATAGTACGTTGGCGAAAGGTAATCTTGGGCATATGACTGTCAATTGGCGTTATGTTTGGAGGATGTTTTCTTGATGAATCCAGAGTGGAATTTCCAGCAAATAAATGCGCAAACATGTTGGCTTTCTCCTGAATGTGAATACATCATTGTGATTCACATTTTTTTCTTCAAAATGTGGAAAATTGAAGATGAAAATCGACCTGTTTCAGGAGATTCCTCAGGAATTGATGGTTAGACTAAAAATTAATTAATTCAGTACTTTAAGAGAGCACTGTATAGAAATGAGGAGAGAAAATACCTAAAAATATAAAAAAAATAACATTTCATCTCCTCGATTTTCCTAAACAGAGTATTCAATGTTCTCTTGTTCTCATACGATTATATCAAAATCAACGCTTTTAGAAAATTCAAGTAAACTGTTAAAAACTTGTTCATGTAATCACTTATTCTTTACACCTACACCTCAAAGAAGATTTGTTCAACCTAAAAAAATAAATAGCGATATAACTGGCCAAAGAACTCTAAACGATTTTGAGGGCAGACACAATAGACCTGAAAATGTCGCGGTGTGGAGACAGATAGCTCGAAGGCCCCACTCTAAATCTAATCTTATCTAATCTATAGCTATTTCATGCAAACTAGACCTAAGTAGAAAATAATCCAACCACATAATAAAATGCTTACTTGGTTCATTCAGGTTATTTGATGTGCATTCGTTTTCGAAATATTCGTCTTCGTAGACTGAAACCCTGTACGAATTTGGTAACTGATGGCGATCAGCATCGCTAAGGGTACAAGTTCCTCTGATATTAGTGTTTTCTTCGTAACTGGATTTGGTGATATGAAATTTGACTGATCTACAGACAAAATCAGTTTCGTTGAGGCAGTACTGTTGACAATCAGATCTCGATAGAGCTCCTGGCAGTGTTTTAGTATCGTTGCCTATCAATGTCGTACCAGGAATTCTTTCGAAGATCCACAGTTTTTCACATGTCCGTCCTAAAATTGAAAAAAAAGCTTACGTAGGTATTGGTGTGATATGTGTTTTGAACCATTAAAGTTCAATAACGTAATAGTATATTATGTAACAAGTGTTATAAACGTCCTTTTAGTAACGAGTAGTTTAAGCACGAGCGGAGCAGAGCGGAGCGAGTGTTTAATAAACGAGTGTCTAGAAGAGTTTATAAACGCGTTACATACTATGATTTTTCTACGAACTCCAAAAATTACATTAATTAACATACCTGCTATTCCTGCTAACCTACAAAATAATTCGAAAGGAATGGGAATTGAAAACCTTATACATACAACTGCATGCAACCAGCGAGACACGTATATAAGTGATATTGGTTGTAGATCTGTCCAGTCCATTGCTTACTAACCTTTGTTTCACGTTTATTGTCATGCTTAGCGCTGAATAAATAAATTGTTCTCAAAGATGGATGCTTCATTTTTAAGGCGGATTCATGCAACATTCATTATAATTACATTTTCACTACATTATAATTACATTTTCACTAGCCGCGAGGTACCCGTTCATGCAACTTATGCTCATAATGAACTAATTATTCGAGGTTATGTGATTCAGTTGGATTTTTCAAATTTTTACAGGTTATTTAAGAACATGGATTTATTATGAATATAATATCTGAGGTGAATCACAAATAGTTTTATGGAAAAAATGATCATTCAATGATCTAAACTTTCAAATCAGTCGTTTTCACTAGAACTATAATGTAATTATAATGAATAGTTAAAAGTTGGTCAACTTCTTAGTGCACTAATGTGATGAAAATGTAATGAAAATGTGTTGATGTGTTTCATGAACGCATTCTATGGAATAGGAGTTTTCAACATTCTTAATTTATAATGTAATGAAAATGTAATTATAATGACTGTTGCATGAATCGGCCTTCACACTTCTTGGAAGTATGTAAGTACCTGAACATTCTCTTCGATTTCACTCGTCTATTGTTTGAATAATTCTGATACAAAATATGAAAATAACAGTTGACAGTTAATACAATAATTGACAGGCCAGACATGTCTCGAATTACTGAAGCTGTGTTTAATGAACTGCGTTGCCATGGTGATGTGTTTAAGAAATCGTGTTGCTATGGTAACGTGTTTAATATTTTGAATAAATCACAGATCGACAATCCGTGATTAATCGATCAATTAGCGTGGTACATATATCCGTACGATAAATGCCATTTTAGTTATGTGAGTAGAAAAAATATTTTTTATCGTTTGGTGCGCACGAAAGGGAATCCCTATAATGTTCGCAGAACATCATGCGTACCTAGGGAGGATAGGGAGAGGAGGTAGTAGTTGGAATTGTTCTTGAACCCTCGTAAATTATAAGTTCTTGGAAATACTTCCTTAGGCAATGAATTCCAGAGCTTTTGCGTTATATAGAGAAACGAGTTTTGTTATAGTGCTGTTCGACATATCACGAGATTGACGATGTGCTGACTGCGCTTGTCGAGTTCGTCTAGCTGGTATTGCTAGTCGTGGAAGTATCTATAAAAAAGTAAAAGGTTGCTGACCTTCCTACGGTGTTCCAATGATGTCAATGATGCCAAAGTGCTAGTGAGTGTGGCATGACCCACTAGGCGAATGGCTCTTCTCTGGATGGAATCTAAGAGCATCAGAGTATGTTCGGGTGCTGAAGCCCATATGTGGGAACAGTATTCTCGAACAGGTATGTGCTTGTAAATCATGAGAACGATTGAGGTGTAAGGTAACTTTTCACACTGATTAAAAATCCGAGTTTTTGTGAAGCAACTTTCGCGATGGATCTGACATGATTATCCCATGAAAGAGTACTGCTGATGGAGTCACCGCCGATAGATATAGTGGACTTGGTGGGAATGTTGGTATCCGACATGGTTATATCAGGCATACTGAATTCTGCCTTTATAGAGAAAATACAGGCTTGAGTTTTCGCGGCGTTGAATCCAACAAGGCTGTTGGTTCTCCAGGCTGTGATTTTAGCATTTTAGCAAGATCTTTATTGATAGCAATGATCTGCTTTCACCGTGAGTTCTTAGTTTTCTGGGAAGAAATAGGAATCCTGGAAGAGAACGCAGTATGGAGGGTACTATAATCTACAAAACTATAGGGCAAGTGGTTGCTCCCAACAGATCATTGACATGAATTAGTCAGTGCCAAAATTCGCGATAGAAAATAACACGTCGCTCCACCTGACGGCAGTAATTTGAACACTTCGGAGCGGTGTGTTTTGATGATATGACCAATAAGCAGAAACAAAAAACAAATGTCAACCAATGCAACCAAAGTAAACATGCCGCTTTGACAGCTTTCAAGAACTCCGATAGGTAGCGTACGCTTATTTTCTAACGCGAATTGATCCTTGTAGAACGCCGGAATTGATGGCAATGGTATCAGACGATACACTGTCTACTACCACGTGGAGTGATCTGCCTGGAAGAAAGCTCGATAAGAGATGGCATAGCTGAGGTGGTGAGCCGTATGATGATAATGAAGAAATCTTTGGTGCCAAACACAGTCGAATGCTTTCGATATGTCTAACGCCACAGCTAGGGATTCCTCATGTTTTTTTAATGAAGCTTGCCATATATGGGTAACGTAGGCAAGTAGATCTCCAGTTGATCTTCGGTGGTGAAAGCCATATTGATGATTCCTGAGCTTTTCAGATATTTGATAAGCTCAATGTTGATGGCTTCCTTCATTAATTTGGAGATTACTATAACAGGGAAATAGGCCTGTAGTTGATGGGCAGGTTTTCGTTGTCTTTTTTGGGGATTGGTTGGACTCTTCCAGCATGATGGAAAAATAAGAATATTTGCAGCAGAACTTCATCAAAACATCGCTGTAGGCGAGAACTAGATGACTTTGGAAACTTTCACACAGATAGTCCTAAAAATTCATGAAATATATAATGAACCGTGATTTGTGCCCAACGACTATATTGACATTTCCAAAGTGGTGGTGGATCCCATCAACATATTGAGCTTATCAAACAGATGTAAAGCTCAGGAATCATTAATGATAGACGATATGGCTTTCGCCATCGAAAATCAACTGGAGACTTACTTGCCTACGTCAATTCATTAGAAAAACACTACCTCTGGCATCAGATATATCGAAAGCATTCGACCGTGTTTGGCACCAACAACCCCTTCACAAACTACCATCATACGGCTCACCATCTCACCTTCTTTCATCGCGTTTTCTTCAAGACAGATGTCTTCATGTGGTGGTGAAGAAAATATCAGGGGCTCACGACCTATGAGTACGGGAATTGTGAACCCAAGGTAACCTAGTTGCTAGCCGGATACTCATCAATCTTCAACTTGTCTTGGAAGGTATCCTCTTCATTCTCCAGTTTTCCATATTTCTCATCGGCCTCTCTTGACCAATTCATTTTTTTCCTTATCTCTTAAGGCCATCCTCACCATGGTGCAGGGAGGACAAGCCTCGGCTGCTTGGCAGATGGAGCAATTTGTGGACATCTTTGTTCTCTACACTCAGATGGGACAGTTTTGTGGATAGCTGTGTGCAAGGATGCCATTTGAAAAAAAAGTTGACAGTTGCTGACCTAATTGTTGAAATTTGAGAAAATAATTATCACAGCCTACTCATACTTTCTTTAAGTTTTGCTTCTTCGTTTATCAACATTGGATAATTGATAGCAACTCTATGACTTGAAGCGTTTTTTTGTTAGTCAGCCTGCGTATACTACAGCTTTTTCAGTTGTATCTATTTCAGAAAGCGTCAATTCAATTTCAGAAAGCATCAATTGTATTTCAGAATAGTCACTTGTATTTCAGAAAGCATCAATTGTATTTCAGAATAGTCACTTGTATTTCAGAAAGCATCAATTGTATTTCAGAATAGTCAATTGAATTTCAGAAAGCGTCAGTTGTATTTTGTATTGCGTTCTCTCCCGAAATTCCCATTACTTTCCAACAAACTAAGTACTTACGATGAAGGCACAGCCTCGTTGAATTCAATGCCACCTAAACTCAAGCCTGTATTTTCTTACATAAACAATGTCTGATAGCAACATTTCCAGCAAGTCAACTATATCTATGCTCAGCAGCAATACTCTTTCATGGGATAATCATGTCAGATCTACCGCGAAAGCTGCTTCACAAACACTCGGATTTTCATTTCGTGTGAAAAGCTACTTTACACCTCAACAGCTTCTCATGAATCACAGAGTCCAGATACGGCCTGTTTCAGATTACTGTTCCCACATATGGAGTTCAGCACCCAAACGTACGCTGATGCTCTTAGATTAACTAATTCCTTCGTTCGGACCCCCTAGGAAAGTCATGTCTGGTATAGTTTATCCATGAACAATTGCACAGTGTCGTTCTGGACCTGCACTCACTTCAAACGGAACTTCAAACCCGCCGACGTCGCATGGTGTGGGATATTCTGTAATTTATTGATTTTGGACATACTTTATCACCTTTAACACAAAGCTACTGCAGCTTCTCAACAAGTTCCCATGATATACAAAGCACAGATACGGCCTGTTTCAGAATACTGTTCTCACAAATGGTGTTCAGCACCCAAATATACGCTGATGCTCTCAGATTTCATTCAGAGAAGAGTCATTCGCCTGGTGGGTGATGCCACACTCACTAATACTTTGACTTCATCAGAGCACCGTAGAAAAGTCGGCGACCGTTCACTTTTATATATATACTTCCACGGGAAATGTTCTTCACAAATCTCTGCTATTATTCCATCACTAGCAATGCCAGTCGGACGTACTCGACAAGCCTTCACCAAAACTCGTTTTTCTATAAAAAGGAAGTATTCCCAAGAACGTATAATCTCCAAAACTTCAATAAAACTTCAATACCTACCTCTCTTTTATCCCTTTCGTGCGCTCCAAGTGATGACTAAATGCAAACTTTTGATAGTGTTTTGATGCAAATGAGGATCGATATGTGATGAAGCTTTGTTGAGATTGAAATTGATATTGAATCGGTGAGAATAAGAACAGTACAAGTCCAAAATTTGACATTTCGAACTGGAATAGCCATTTTGTCTGTAATACGAAGCTGCATCGAATGAGTCGAGAATAGTTATTTAACCAACTAGTGTATTAATGAGGGCGATTAATGATCGAGATATTTTAACGTGCGAGCGAAGCGAGTGCGTTAATGTTCGAGATCATTAATCGCCTTTTAATATACAAGTTGGTTACAAAATTTTTCCGTCGACTATATTTCTCATTTCTCCTGCAATGAAGAAAACTTGGTTCGCCAAATCATCATCCATCCGGAAACTGCTAAGAATCACCCAGTAGCCTTGTTAATGACATTAGACACATTTGACATTTGTCGAAATGATCAACATAGGAAATAAATTCCTTGTGTTAGAAAACAGGGATTAATATCGTGTCAGAAACTTGGAAAGGCGAACCCGTTAAGGAAAATCGTCGATGAAATCCATATTTTCGATTTAAATGCAGATTCCGTAAGTTATAGCACATACAATGAATGCTCGCGGTGTATGTTTGGTTGCCTATAAAACAATCGTGTATTAATAGACAAATCGTTCATTAATAGGGGTCATTAATGAACGATTTCATATACATTAAACTTAGTCGTTAATACGAGGTCGACGGAAAACAGTATTAATATCACTATATCAAGGCGTATGACGGCGCTCATCGTGAAGCGTTGAGCGTAAGAACAGAACAACTTTACAGAGAGTTTTTCTTGTTTTCCCAAAACTGTAACATTTGGACTCGTACTGTTCTTATTCTCACCGATTCTATTAAGATTGAGATTTCTATAATTCGCAAATTATGTTCTTACCGCTACTGTAGCACCGTTTCAGGAACCAAGCCGCGTTTTCGTCAATAATGAGCTGGCTCTCATCAGTTTCACTGAAATCGGTACTGAACCAATAACACCTGGAAGCACCATAAAACAGCACGAAGCTTCTGCAGGCCTCGTTAGCTTGGCATTTCGCTATGCACTCTAAGGTGATCGGCCTCGATGTGGTGTTATCTAATTGGTATAAGAGTGAAGGTTGGCTGCCATTTTGGGGGCGTAAGCCCAACACCTTCTCGAAATTAACATCCGATTTTGGACAAGTCAGTACGTTGGCACCTGTAACATTATTTTGGTTTCAAAATCATAAAGGTGTGTTAAAATTGGATCAATGCAAGGGAGGAACCAGCCCTCAGGGGGGCTCACGGGCTTCAAAATCACAATATTCATCAACAGGAGAAAAAAACGAACTTAAAGTCGTTTGACCATTTTGAGTTCGTTTCTTTCTTCTGTTGAAAAATACTGGACCACTTTGAGAATGAATGGTTTCCATGACTTCACAATATTTATGTTGGATGCATGACAAATTGATATTCATCATAAAGGGCGTCGAAAGAAATTCTGAATTGAGAAAACCCAATCACGAATCTGCGATTTGAGGTCTATGAAAATAACGAGTTTCCATCGTTCAAGTTTGACCCCTTGATTGGGTATGAAGGATTTGAAAGGGAATATTCTAAGATATATTATGAACATGAGAAAATGGATACATTTGAAGAAATAGGTACATTGATAATTCGCACTCTTCATGCATGTGATGAAAATATTCTTTCTCGGTATATTCAACAGAAAACGACTAAACGTGTGAATGAGTCCATATATTGCTCAAAGTGGAATATTAGAGTTTGGTGGAAGGGTAAATCTCAAAATCATCTCCACGGCATTTAATAGTTGAACATAGTTTTGTTACAAATGGGAGGGACATGCATGTTTCGGGCTTATAATAAGCCCATCATCAGCCAAGGTTGATAACGTCCTGCTATAGTCTAAACTAGTAGAAGGAATATAGTAATAGATAATATCACTTATATGAGGATGTAAAAATGTTCTTCAAAGTTGTGAAATCTTATTAAATTGAATAGTAAACATGATGAATTATCATTGAAATATAAAACAGGCTTTTTTATTTTGAGAGGGGCTCACCCTCTAAGATACACTCAGGAGTTTTTTTACCTGATGAGAACCTCCTGAGGGTATCTTAGAGAGGAAGCCCATCAATAAAAGTACCTGTTTCATATTTCAATAATTATTTAATTCAATAAGATTTCACAACTTTGAAGAACATTTTTCCATCCTCATGTGAGTAAAATTATCTATTACCATATTCCTGATACTAGTTCAGACTATTGTAGGATGTTATAAATCTTGACTTATCATAAGCCCGAAACATGTCTCTCCCATTTGTAACATAACTTTGTTCAACTACTAAGTGTCGTGGAGATGATTTTGAGATTCACTCTTCCTTCTAGAAAACAATTACCTTCCTGGCCATATCTCATGGCTATTAAAATGTACCTATCTATTGAACACACACGATACGAATTTGAAAATAAAATCTTCTGAAGTTCAGAATTCACATTCTCCTTCAGATAAAATATATATGTATATAATATCATTCTGAATATTCAACAGTAAACGACTACTTTCCTGGCTATTTGTCATTTCGTCCATTGAATTTATATCTGTTAAACACCAAGAGGATGATATTCTCGTTGTCATCGATAAATTCCTGTAACCTCTGTTTCATAACTCGATCAGTTATCTTTGATGGAGACCACAGGAGACTGATAGGACGATAGCTCTGCGGAAGAACATTATCCTGGCCCTGTTTCTTGATCATCACTACTTCGACATGTTTCCATCTTTGAGGAAATTATAATAATTCTAATATAGCGTTGATGATGATTTTACATAAGTAAGTGATGAAATTACCGAGAATCCTTTTCAATATTCTATTGGTAATTTCATCAGTACCTGGAGCTTTCCTGAGTTTTTGCGCTTAGATATACCTGTTTACTTCATCCGTAGGGCCTAATTGTTGAATCCTGATCATAATTATTTGAATGGGCCAGAACTAGCCCATTCCTGATTATACTCCTGTGACTCATTCAACTTGAATTTTGATACAATAAGTGAATCAGCAAATACTTCGACTTTTTGAGCAGTGCTGTACTTGGCTCCGTCATCTCTTCTTAGAGGAGATATTTTGACAATAATCATTCTTATTTTTCAAAAATCAACTTCTTTTTATCGATTTCATTAATATCTCCAACGTGAATCCAAACTGGCCCTGTTTGCGAAGTAGGCTGCATTTTTGACAAGTTCAGGTTTCAAGTTTGTACGTACCGGTAATTACTGTTCTGTAGTATAGCACCGTACAGAAGAAATCCGTAGTATGAAAGTTTTTTTCTCAAGTACTAACTCATCAATGAGTATGACTGTATGAATATTTCAACTCCTATTCCTCCAGTACCTGGAACTTTCCTGAATTATTGCGCTTTGATGCACCTGTTTACATCATCCGTAGATGCGAGCCTTATTCTTGAATCCTGAACATAATTATTCAAATGGGCCAGAACTACTTGCTCAACAGAACTATCCTATTCCTGATTATAATCCTGTGACTCATTCAACTTGAAATGTGATACAATAAGTCAATCAGCAAGGACTTCGGCTTCTTGAACAGTGCTGTACTTGGCTCCGTTATCTCCTCTTAGAGGAGGTATGACGGTTTTCCTATCTTTCACTCTTTCAATCAGCTTCCAAAGGTTATCAGAACCTTACTCCAGATTTTCCTGAGTGGACTGCTATCTAGAGTTTCGGGAATTATCAATCTCAGTTCTCACGATAGAACTTTCTCATGACTCTTCGTTTCAATCTATTTCTTTTTCTGAGGAGATTTTTCACGTGAGTTTGGAATTCATTAGCTCAAAAACTAGTAATATTTGTTATCTGGATCTTATTATTCAGAACTGTGAAAACTTCCTGCTCGAAGTCAATTACAGCTAGGATTTCACGATACTCGATGAAACTCTAATTACAGCACTATCAATTTTTCGAGAAGTGTCGAGTTCCTCATGAACTTCAACATCTTCTAGATCTGTTCCTATATTTGGAGTGCTGCACCCAAACATACCCTGAAAATGTTGGATTCTGTCCAAAAGAGGGCTGATGCCTCGCTCACAAACTCACTCACTTCTCTGTAGCACCGTAGAAAAGTTGGCGATATGGCTCTATTTTATAGATATTTTCATGGACGATACTCTTCTGAAATATCAACAATTGTTCCTTCCTTGGCAGTCCCCTGAGATTAACCCGTCGAGTTGAGGCTTCGCACCCCTTCGTGGTCACTTTGGAGACCTGCAGAACATCTTTTTCCAAAGACTCGTTCATCCAACGAACAGCGAGGCTCTGGAACACATTGCCAAGGTAGGTGTTTTCCGAGGCATATAACCTCCACTACCTCCAGAAATTTAATAAGAACACCAATTCATACCTTATTTCCCTTGGTTCTCACGATGTTCTCTATACATTACAGGATATCCCTTTTCGTGGGAACCAGAACATAAAAAAAATCTCGCATGAGATTAATCCAGGAAACTTTCCTACGTTGAAAGATTTCATCTCTTGGATATATCAGATATCTGAACTCTATAGTTATTGTACTTGTTTTTTCGTATTATAGGTATTTCCAATGTTTGACAAATATAATTCGATATTCTGTGGTGTTAGCCAGGCAAGTTATAGTTACCTGTTAGATATTTTCACAATAATTATTCTTATTTTTCGAAAATCAACTTTTTCTAATCAATTTTTTTAATATCCCCAACGTGAATCCAAACTGGCCCTGTTTGCGAAGTATATAGGCTACATTTTCAAAAAGTTCAGGTTTCAACTTTGTAGTTACCCGTAGTTACTGTTCTAAAAATTGTTCTAAAATTGTTCTAAAATTGTTCTATCCGTCATTCGGTTGCCCCCTTACGAGCAACCCTCAAAAGTCTTCGAAAGTCTTGTGCGAGCAAGGAATGACGGGGGCCTTACCTTTTTTAAAGTGTGATCCCAAACACTTTTTTGGGCCATCAGAAAACTTTCTGCAGTCGACGGGGATCGAACCCACGACCGGCAAGCGAATGCGAATTAGAATATAGACACTCTGTCCGCACGGCTACCTGGCCTGTAGTATAGCACCGTACAGAGGTAAATCGTAGTACGAAAGTTTTATTTTTTTAATACTAACTCATCAATGTGTACGACTGTATGAATATTTCACCTCCTATAGGTATTCCTGCAAATAGTGAAATTATGGAGTCGTCTTTTTCTCAAATGAACGGAGGCTTGTCTTAATTTACAACTCGAAATTGAGAAAAATGGTCAAATCTTCGCATTCGTACAGATGCGACACACCGTATACTTATATAATTATCCCAAAATCGAACTATCCACTGTGATTCAAGTATTCATCTGAATAACTAGTCATTTCCTACCTCACCTGCATTCAGTTCAATCAAAACCAAACAGCAAACAATCAAAAACATAATGACGAACACACATGCTTGATTTCGCGATCGCGACGGTTTCGTTCCACAAAAGCGACTACATTTACGTTATCGGCTTTTTTTTCATTTTCGATGTTGCGAGGACCCGCGCCAATCCACTAAGTAATAAGTGGTAATAATATATGGTATCGCGTTGGTGGGAATTATTGGCGGACGCATCGAACATCGGCTGATTGGCCCATCAAATGAGCCAGTTTCAGTGAACAATAATAATTATTGTATTTCATTATTTTAACGTAGGTATACCTACTATAAGCCAAAATAGTTCACATTCGCAAACTCTTTTTTCTCTCCCTCTGTACATTTCTGATAGTGTTGCCGTCTAGACTTATACATTCTAGACTCTTGTCTTGTCTTGTCTAGAATATCAAGACAAGATCATCAATATGTCTTGTCTAGATTATCTAGACAAGACAAGACTTTTCATTTTCCATACAAGACTTTTATTCAAAACTCTTGATTATTTTCAAATCTATATTACAAATAATACAAAAAAAAACGTTTAATATGTTTTAAATTTAAGTACGTTGAAGAAACAAATTAAATTTTAAACAGAAACATATTTTTTAATACTTTCATGAAGCTGACAGGTAGCCCATGAATTGATACATAGGAGTGACCTGGCTGAATCGGAATTAAGCCTATTCCTATGTTTACGAATGATAAGCGAAGCTCTAGAAAATAAGCGTTCTGCTGGAACAGATGTGGCAGGAATACTCAGCAAATCGCGTGCCATTTTGGCTAATGTAGAATAATGCTTGCGCCACCAAACAAGAATATCTTCTTCTCTTGGAGCACGTTTACTTGAAAGGTACTCATCAATTTCTTTTCTCCAGAAATTTGGGTTGTCAATAAAATTGTCTGTAGAAGAGGTAGAACTTTCAAATAAAAAATTGAAGTCAAGTGGACTGTTATCTTCAGAGTCAGTTAAATTCTAGAGTCTTGAATAATAATCTAGACTTTCGTTATCTAGACAAGACCACACTTAGCTTATTTAATCAAGAATTACGCGTATACAACTCTTGTCTTGAAATTTCAAGACAAGACAAGAGTAGGTAAACTCTTGTCTTGTCTTGTCTAGATGGCAACACTAATTTCTGAAGTAAAAATAATTTTCGCAAGTTGCGTATCTTGCCAACAATTAAAATCTTGAATTACCAGATCTGTGAAGTGAAAATCACCAGATTTGAACAATTATCACCAGATTTCACAACTTCTGAAATATATTAGGGAATTGGGTAATTTTGCACTTATCATGCGATGGGTTTTTTTCCGAAATGTTTTTTTGGTACTTACGTATTTTTATCTGAAAAACACGAATTTGATGATGAAAATGTGAACAAACCATTATTTATTAAGATATTTCACTATAAAGTTACAAATTTCACCTTCTTTTCCGCCTGTCTTTGGATCGCATTTTCCCATCATTGGACAATTTATATATATCACACAATGTTGGACACATTTTTTTTTATTATATGAGTCAACTGAAAATATGATTTTCATGTTTAGTGGAAAGAAGGAAGAATATCATTTGAAATAATGGCGTGTGTAATGTCATTCCAAAGCAATCTATTGACATTTGACATCTCGTATTTGGATTGCCATAAAAATCATATTTCCTGTTGAATTTTCTAGCTTAAAATGTGTCATTGAAGTACATCATGAGTATATGTCCAATGACAAAATAAATAGAGCAAGTACCTGTAAATGCATCCAACACAAGGGGGAAAATAAGGCAAAATTTCGAACTTTTTCTTGAAATATCTCGATAAATAGTGGTTTGTTCACATTTTCATTATCAAATCTGTATTTTTCAGACAAAAATACGTAATTACAAAAAAAAAATTTCGAAAAAAAAAAACCATCGCATGATAAGTGCAAAATTACCGGTAATTGTAAACTAGTATAATTATTTGAATAAATATGTTCTCATTTTCAAACAGAAGGTTGGAATTAACATTTTGTAGGAGTCGAAGACACAAAGGTGTATTACTAATTACCAATCGAATTAAAAAGGTATGAACATACATGAAGATTTCATCATTTCAGTTCATAAGTATTTTTGTGACTTCCATTTTTTTCATCAAATTATTCCCAATTTCAAAATTGAATCTTTCTGAGTGTAGTATTATTCTACTATCCTCATCGACCTCATCCATCATTTTTTGTTTCGATTTTTGTTGGATCTTTCGATTATTTTGAATCAAGTTTAAAAGTTTCATTGGGCGAAAATGTTGTGTACTAGTGTTTCTGAAGTCAATATTAATCTTAGATAGGGACCCTTTTTTACTCGAATGTATGAAACGGCGGACGCGGAGATAAATATACATCGAGTATACATGCACTTGTTGCAGAAACACTACCCGTTCCTTCCAATGTTGTATGTTGATGATTGTTAGGAATGTGAATCGGGTGGTTTCACTCTTCTTTTCCCATCTCATGGGCTCTTTGGGACTGTTTGTAAAAAATCACCAGATTTCACAATTTGAATGAAAATAATCACCAAAACCAAATTGGCGAAGAAATCACCAAATCTGGTGATAAATCATCAAATATGGTGATAAATCACCAACATTGGCAACACTGTAGGCAAGCTCAGTAAACTCTTGCATGCAGGTGTCAGATAAACATTATGCAGCTGATTGATTTTTTCGAAATTTTTTGTTTTTTGTATCTTGTGGATTGTGGACGACTGAACCAAACTAAACCTACCTATGAATAACATTTCATTCATTATGTCAGCTTCAGAAAATCCGGCTGATAAATTTGGTCGATTTAACTCCTTGGTTTTTTTAAATACATACTTCTGAGGGTTGCTCGTAAGGGGGCAACGAGATGACGGATAAGAAATGGTAATTTTTCTAACAAGTGCGGAAAGTATTTCTTTCCCGCACGCGACTGCCGTTGACACGAACGACGCGAAGCGGAGTTCGGGCAAGCAGTCGAGTGCGGGGAAAACACCCTCCGCATGAGTTAGGAACATTATTTTTTCTACAGGCGTAGGAATTTGATTGATTTGTTCAATTAATTATTCATGCAAAAAGGAACAACTAACAAGAGAAATATATTCTCTATTTACTAATTATTAGTAATAGCTATTGTGACCTTACAGTTTGACGCATTATGTAGGTTCATTGCGGAAGCCAGCTGGCCCATAAGGTGTTTGGTCTCTTAAGGTTCCAGACACTTCCAGGAAATGAGCCAAAAATACTTCTTCTTCATTCTGTATTTTCATTTCTTTATTGTCGCACCATTCAATAAAACGAGTGTATCTGTTCTCTCTTAAGACTTCGTTGGCAATAACGCAAAAAATGTGTCGCATCCCTATATAGCTGGAAGTTTTTGATCACATTGTGGAAATTCAACTGAATAAAAAATGACAGTATAACGTTGCGTCTGTCACTTCGACAATTACAAACTCATTTGAAGTTTGATTGGCATGACAACAACATTCGTTTTCCATCAGATCAATCCAAATCTATAGGGGGATTTTTATAATATTCAATTTTAATTTTTCAATATTTCTTCATTTTCCCAACAAATAGTGCAATTTAATAATAATAATAATAAATTTATTGCACTTTAAAAAAAAAACAATTACAAGCCAGTCAAACAGATATTATATATGTGTATATATATATATATATTATGTATATTTATTGCTATATGTGAGAAAAAAAAATTGATTGGTATTGGGGGGTTTAACTATGAGGTATGATTAGATAACTTGCAGGTTCATATGGCTCCAAATCAATAAGCATATTTATGAGACCTGTCTTAACTTTCACAAAATTATGTTCTTTTTTCATGACTTCTGGTAAGTGATTGAAGAATTGAATAGCTGAGTAAAGAGCACCACGTTCAATTTTGGAGAGATGATGAACAGGTATATTATAGTTGTAGACTTGTCTTGTAGGGTATACTCCTGATGGCTTGTATTGATCAAAATATTTTCTGTTTTTGAACACAAATTTTATACATTCATAAATATACAGAGCTGGGATTGTCAGTAGTCTCATTGTTTTGAAATGACCCCTTCATGATTCAAAATACCCCATTTGGTTCATTATTCGGATGGCTCGCTTTTGTATTTTGAAAATTCTATGTGCTTCTATACTACCACCCCACAGTATTATACCATATCTGACCCGGGAATAAAAGTTGGCAAAGTAGAAGGTTCTTGTAATACTTAGATTGCAGTTATTAGATAAAACTCTCAGACCATAACAGGCTGTGCTTAGTTTTTAGACAGGTAATCTATGTGGTCATCAAATTTCAGTGTTTCATCTAGAAAAATGCCTAGGCATTTGAAAGATAGGGAAAAAGATATATTATGGCTATTGAGATTGATTTTCGGGGGGGTTTCTAAACGCTGATTTGTTTTGAAAAGTATTGTGTTTGTTTTTTCAGGATTCAACACTAATCTGCTATTGTTGAACCAGTTTATTGCCGAGGTAAGTATGGAATTTCCCATTTCACATATCTTTGGGTAGTTGGCTGCAGATATTAGGATAGAGCTATCATCAGCATAGTTAATTATCTTTATGTTTGAAGTTGATAATTTATTGAAATCATTCAGAAAAATAATGAAAAGGAGGGGTGCAAGATTACTTCCCTGAGGGACCCCCATGGAGATGTCCATCGCTTTTGACTGTATATTTTGTCCAGTAATTTCATCTCTGATTCTTACCGCCTGATGTCTATCTTTGAGGTATGATCTTATCCAGTCTAAGGCAATGCCGCGAATTCCATAGTGGTCAAGTTTTGTGCATAGTATTGTGTGGTCAATAAGGTCAAAAGCTCTGGACAGGTCCAAGAAGATTCCACAGGTGATATCTCCTTGTTCCCATGAATCATAGATTGTGCTTGTGAGTTCGAAAAGAGCAGTCTCGATACTCCTGTTGCTTATAAAACCATGTTAGCTGGAGCTGAGTAAATTCTGAGTTTTGAAGAAAGACATCAATCTAGAGCAAATTACTATTTCAA